CACGTGACGTTAAGATGGCTGCGCCCAAAGGTGGGCCAGATCAGGTTGGCCAGATCGCGGTCAGCAGATGGGCACTCTGGGGCTGCGTTCGAATCTTACTCGAATGGCGCCGAGTTATTCCGGCGGATCAAGTCACGTGACAAGACAGATGCAGCAACGCTAGACGCCGGTAGGTTTTCGAACGCAACGGGTATGAGAACTTCACCCAGGAGTGAGATAAAAGCTGCGTTCGATTAACTTGCACCTCCTTCGCCGGTGCAGACCAGCGATCACCTGTCTTTACTCCTTTCTCCCTAATTTCGTAGTTCAGCTGGTTTAACCGTTGTAATATGCAGACAAGTGTAGGGCAGTCTACTTCCGGTCTATCTCAATACATATACCGGAAGTAGACTGCCCTACACTTTTCTGCACCGGCGAAGGAGGTGCAAGTTAATCGAATGCAGCTTTTATCTCACTCCTGGGCAGGGTGTAAGATAGACAGGTGGGGAAACGGCCCATAGAAGCCTACCGCAGCGCCGTGACCGGATTGTGTACTCGTCTGCTTGCGGGTACCCCCGATTTGCGACAGATGGCGCTGCGGCGAGAGGAAAAAAATCGGAATTCGTATTTGCATGGAACTTTATGGGAGAGTGCGCAAAATAAACTGAGAGCACGACATTCCTTCATTGAAAATCCACGAGAAATCATCTCCGTCAATTTAGCCGGTCGCCACCGGTCGCCTACCGAGAGTGAGAGTTCGCGGTGCTCCACATAGATGGCGCCACAGAAAAAGAGAAACCCGAGGGGGACACAATCCGGTCGCTCATGCCGCTGTCGTTTCCCCACCTGTCTATCTTACACCCTGCTCCTGGGTGAAGTTCTCGTACCCGTTGCGTTCGAAAACCTACCCGCGTCTAGCGTTGCTGCATCTGTCTTGTCACGTGACTTGATCCGCCGGAATAACTTGGCGCCATTCGAGTAAGATTCGAACGCAGCCCCAGAGTGCCCATTTGCTGACCGCGATCTGGCCAATCTGATCTGGCACACCTCTTGGCGCAGCCATCTTAACGTCACGTGATCACTAATGTGGCAAACAGGCAAGATGGCGGCAACCGGGGGGGTGCCATTTTTGACCGCTGGTTTACCGCTCTAAGTTTACTCAAGCTCGTTGGGTGTGATGGGTTCTGCAATTTGCAATCCTAAACGAGTAGTGGATCAATAAACACAGCTGAAGTTGGAGCCTCTGAATCGGGCGGTAGCTGGCGCCACCTCGTTAGTACGAATGAATTGATCCAAAAGGGTCTTTGTTCACTTGACTGATTGACTGACTGGCATAAATCAAATACCATATATAAATTCGTGCTAAACACTTTCTACCCTCGTCGACTATGTAGCAGTAACCAGTAGCGTTGCTGAAATGCCCAAGCATCAAGGAGTATTCAGGGATTGGTGTTCCACGCGCCACACGCGTGGAGAAGAAAACATTGAACCGTTTCTCGTCGTGTCTGTTCATTTCTTTTCGCGATTTTCTCCGTCGATGAAAGCCGTTTCAAGCGTCCGTAAGAAACGCACCGGTATTTTGAAAGTAAATAAACACCGAAAAACATACTATATGATGGTCATAAGTTTATTTTATTTTCACGGAATATTTTATATAAATTCAGATATGTCATCGAAAATGAGTTACCAATTATTATAATCCACTTTATTAAAATCCACTTTTTATTTCGTTTAATTTTTTTGATTATTGCTGCCAATTTCCCCCTCTTTCTGTTGTATTTGTATCTTCTCTAGAAGTGATAGAAATCACACCCACGCTCTCGGAACGGCCAAACACAGTTTCCATGGCTCGACTTCGCTGCAAAGAAACATTTATTTATTCCCCAAACCAAGCAATGTGTGCCACGCCAAAGCGAATCTACCATTACCACCTAAAATGAAATCGTCAAATCGGTTTTCCGTATTCCCGAAAGCTGTACAATCTTTGCACTGAGCTCGGTGCGACAAAGTGCATAAACTACAAGTCTACGGAGACATTAAAAAGCCTCTAAAAAGAAAAACAAAAAGTTTTTTTTTTTTAAATCCGTTTGGTTGGGAGTTGCGTGTCAAAAAATAAATTTTACGCAAAAACAAAAATATTTTTAGAGCAATATTGACGGCGAGATTTATTTGAAATTCTGCATACGAAGTCCACGACGTCACTGGTCATTCCGGAATGACCCTCGTGAAGGCAAAGCCGATTTACCTTTCCTCCATGCGCCCCAAATGCTGAAAGAAAACAAGGGGAAAGGAGGTGACTGCTGACTAAATTGCGTCTCCCACTGTCTTTTTTTTTTTTTCCGCATAATTTAAACTTTTTTTACACGCGTGTCCCAACCAGATTTAGAAAAAACATTTTCTTTTCTTCAGGGGCCCTTCAAGTGGCTGATTTTGCTGCTTTCTGAGCACTCGTGAACTGGACTATTTAAAGCTAGGGGTGTCGCGAACCGGCCGCGGTGCGAGTTCGACCAGGTTCGACTTTTTCGAACTTTTAGTGGAAAGTTCGTCGAACCTTGTATTGAGGTTCGACTCGTGTGCGCATGCGCGACAGGCTGGCCAGTTGGCTTCGGATTGGATGGTAATGGCTAAGAGATGAATTAAGTGCAGCGCTGATCGGCTATTTCAGTCAATACAGTACTAAAATTTAAGTTATTAACTTCTTCAATGAATAGAATTAGTTTCTTTTAATTGCAGTTGTTCACACAATAAAATAACCTTTTGCATAAAAAACGAAATTCTCCAAACCTAGACATGCTTGTATCAAGGTCTGGCCACACTGTCCACAAAGTCGAACTGGCCGAAACTGGTGAAAAGGTCGAAGGCTCGTCAAACCGGTTCGACCCAGTCGAACCCCGAAAGTTCGACCAAAAAATCTGGTTCGACAAAAGTTCGCGACACCCCTATTTAAAGCACAGCGATATATTGTTTTACAAGTGCATCCTAAATATAATATATATGCCTTAATTAATAAAAGTGACTTTTTATCACAAATTGGCGTTTTTGTTTTGTAAAGAATTGTCTTCGCTTCATGTAAACTCGGTTAGTTTTTTTCCGCTTTTTTTCATTAAACTGCTTTTCTTGGCATATCATATTACATATTTTTGATATACACACTGCTGATAAAGAACCAACACTTACATGGTTATGTACGGTACAGGCCGCATCAGGGATTGGCGGCCCGTACCGCGTGCTTTCGGGATGCAAAGGAGACGGGCCAATAGCATGACAGGGCCGAGCATGCTGTTTGTGCCTTAAAAGCTATGTACAGCGCAGACAGATATATGACCCTGGTCTGGCTACATGCAGAGGTCGGTCCGTTTTCTCCGCCTTTCGTGCCCCGGCTTTACACACTCGGTAATGGAACATCCCCTGCACCGGATGCTAACGACCAGACTGAGGAATGTCACTTGCCATAAATAGAAAATTCAGAAAATACAATGTGTAGCCAAAGACGATTATTCCCAATCTAAGTATATTTACCTGCTGCCTTTTAAAGCAAGAAACAAGTAGTATATTCCTTGCAGCGAAGCCAACCTGCGGAAACTGTGCTCGGCCGTTACAAGAGCGTGGGTGCAATTTCGATTACTTCTAGAGGAGATACAATGAAAAAGGTGGAAATAGCATCGAGCCAATTGAAGGTTAATATGATCGGAAGCAATAATGGAAAAAGTTTAACGATATACAAAATATTTTTTTACAGCGGAACTGTTAAGGGCTAGTTTCTCCAGGATCGTGTCCGTCAGTAAAGAAATGATGACACTTAAGACAGCTACCGCCATCTATGAACGACGGTGGCAACCAGACAACCGGCCTGCTGGTTGTCTGGTTGCCGCCGCCGCTCGTATATGGTGGCAACCTCTCCAGCATTTTCACTCTGGCCACTTCAACGTGTGGCCGACCATTACTTCATTCCCACCATAGTACAGCTTCGCTGGTCCTCCCTCTTCACCAGGGTGGAAAGGCTGAAAGTATTTTTATACAGCATCTTCAAAATATAAAAAAAAAATCTCATTTTTGACAATATTTCAGATTTATATATAAAATATTCCGTGAAAATAAAATAAACGTATGCCCATCGATAGCCCATGTATAGGACTACACCCACATAGTATTTGGCAAGTGACAAATGTAATAACTCATCAGATTCAAGGCTCTGATTATGCCACCAGATTGTCAGAGAGACAATGGGTGGCATTTTTCACCTCGGTCAAAAACGAAAATACTAAAGTATTTTCCATTGAACTAAAAAAATGGTTGGCATGGTATACAAGCACACAAAAAATTTCTGTCAGTTTTGTATGCTTTTTGTGTTCATATCAGGGTAGAGAATGGGGTAGAAAAATCATATAGTAAAATACAGATTTGCTCCCTGCTCCACTTAATACTTCTTGGAAAAAAAAAAAGTTCTTTTTTTTTAATTTTGAAAAGCAGTTTTATCTTTTAGACCTGAAGCAATTACATATATTTTTTAAAAAAAATTGAAAGACCTACCCCGACAAGTGTTTTCGATTTCAAGTGAAAACCCCCGTCTAGCATTTGTAACATGGAAACAACAGCCAGGAACTAGAACACGAAGCAATAAAATACTGCAAGAACTCAAACAATAGAAAAAGCAATGTCTCAAAGCAGGTCAAATTTTCTGACAGCCAGTGTTGTGAAGGAAAGGGAAGTAAGTGCAGGCATGTTAGTTCCAAGTTCTCCATACCTTTAGTCAGTGCAGTCCTCAAGAGGCATTACACAATATCAAACTACAGAAAACATGCTGGGCAGTGCAGGAATTCCATTAGCAATGCCCCAATTGGCCGCAGAAAGCGCTGCAGGGTGCATCACGCGTTCGGAAACTGATGCCTCGTCGAGGTAAATACTACAAAGAGGCCTTCCCATGACACAGGACATCAAAACAAAATATCTCGCAAAAAACTACTTCATACTTACTTCAGTACTCAAAGCTAGAAACGATGGAAGAAACAAGTGTGTCAAAATTGAGACGGCCAACCTTTTATTTTTCTTCACAGCAAAACTGAGTTTGACTATTTTTAATCATGTTTACTTTTTTGCAAGTTTGTTTATTCCACAAAAACAGTAGCTCTATCAAAAGAAAACAATACAGACATTTTTACAAACATAATGGACCACACCTCAAAGGAGTACACCTCGGGCGAGTGCAAAGGAACTCGGAAGAGCCAAAGCATGACCCAATGCGCACTCAGATGAACATGAAGAGTATACTGCTTTAAAAAACGTAAGACTCCCATTACATTGCCCAGCCTCTAGATTGCAGCTGGCAAGGAATCCTTCCCTACTCCCCAATACATTTGCGTGATGACAGACGGTGGGATTTGGGCAAAAGTCTTGGGAGCAATATGGCAGACAGTCGGGCTCTGCGTGCACAATCTTTGTGACCCACCACGTCGGAATTTAGAATGAACTTTCTCAGATATTAAAGGCATTTGAAAAAGTTATTTGCTGCCAGTGTTTTCATGAAAATGACCCTAGGGTTTGTCAACCTCATCTGTTGGCATGCGCCTGATGAGGAAGACCGTTTAGAAATTGACATAGGACACTGCTGGCTTTTGTAAGGCTTATTGAGCATAAGCACTTCAGTCTGGCGAGGTTAACTTAACCAATTATTCTGAGCAACGACCTTGAGATTTATCTTGCTCTAAGGTATATGTACATTTAAATCAAAATAGCACACAGTTCCGCATGAGTGAAATTATTACGCAGATTATAAAGCATGGCAGGCTCAACTTACAGGTCAACAGCAAGGCATTCGGCATGTGTGCCTCTGTAAGGTTTTTGAACACTATGTGGCTGAAAAAACACTTTGCGAATGGTTTCTCCACTGTGTGTGTTCGACTATGGTGGGCAGATAGAAATTTTGAAAAAAGGCTTGGGGGCATAGCTTGCACTTAAAAGGCTTTTCACCTGTGCGTTTGATTATGGCTACTCAGATGTGCATTCCAAGTAAAGGCTTGGGGTGGAAAGCTTGCACTTAAATGGCTTTTCACCCAAGTGCGTTTGGTTATGCCTTCTCAGATCGAAATAACGGGCAAAGGCTTTTGGGCAAAGCTCGCACTTAAATGGCTTTTCACCGGTGTGTGTTTGGTTATGCTTTTTCAGATCTGAATTCCGAGTAAACGATTGTGAGCAAATCTTGCATTTAAATGGCTTTTCACCAGTGTGTGTTTGAATATGGTCTCTCAGATATACATTCCGAGCAAAGGCTTGGGTGCAAAGCTGGCACTTAAATGGCTTTTCACCAGTGTGTGTATCGTAATGTCTTCTCAGATCTGATTTCCGAGGAAAGGCTTGTGTGCAGACCTTGCAGTTAAATGGCTTTTCACCAGTGTGTGTTTGAATATGGACTCTCAAATTTGCATTACGAGCAAAGGCTTTTGAGCAAAGCATGCACTTAAAGGGCTTTTCACCAGTATGTGTCTGATTATGGTCTCTCAGCTGTGATTCCCGAGCAAAGGCTTTTTGGCAGAGCTCGCACTTATATGGTTTTTCACCTGTGTGTGTTTGATAATGCCTGGTCAGTCGGTAATTATGAGCAAAGGCTAGAGAACACAGTGTGCACTTGAACAACTTATCACGTTTGTGCTTTTGAATGTTGCTTGGCACTTTGGACATAGAGCCAGAGGACATAGAAGGATGATAGCTCTTGAATTGTTCATCACCATGGGCAACCAGGTGGCTCACGATTCCACGCTGATCTCTGCTGACATAGGTGCAGGAACAGCATCTGAACAAGATGTCCTCAGTGGCTTTCAAAGGACTGCTGGTTTTCCCCAATGATGCAGCTCCATCACCTGCAATAAAAACCTCATCTGTATTTGCACACACGAGAAATGCCCAACCAAGATGGCCACTTTGTTTAGAAGAGCAGCCATTAATGCAATCTTGTTGAAGGTATGCAGTATATGTTGGTGCCCTTCTGAATTAAGTTCATGGATTCACTCAAACACAACTGACACCACTAATTAAGGGGAGTCCCTAGTCTTTAAAAGCAAAAATTCTAGGGAAAAAAGTTATTCTTAAGCATTCTTATATTTATCTCTAAATCACAGTTTACATAACTTCTATTTACTACTCAGAATGTGCACTATTATTTAGTTATGTCTATTAAGTTTGATATCCATTGTGCTTAGAAGCTCATTTTACAAAATTCTTCCCCTTTTTCAGGATTTCTTTTTCCGACAACAAAATGTTCTTTGCACAGTATTTTTGGATCTAGAATCTGGACCTGAATACTTTTTGGGAGCTGGATACTTCATTAATCAGAGGCAAACAAGAACAAGATTTCAGTAGACTGCTAGATTAGGTTTTCTAATTGGCAATAATTTAATGACTTCCTTCTAGTTATCAGTGAAATTTCAGCATGGGATGCAGTCATATTTTGCTAACATGAATGCCTCGCTATAGACAAAATTTGGTTGGACCGATTCCTCCCAATGCAAATCTGTCCCATTAATATAGGAACTTGTGGTCTGGACTATGCACAGCTAGTTTTGGGAACAAACTGGGTAAATACATGCCGAGACATTCATTACTCTCTGCTGCTCGTTGCCCTTCCTTCGAGAAGAGATAAGACATGGGCACAGAACAATGGTTTCATTTTACGAGGCAGTCTAATCAAATGGGTCACCTGCCCTTCTCTCCCTATGTGTCACAGCCATGAATGACAAACATGAGGAACATGTGTTGTGTGGCTTGCAGTGCAACGAAGGAACAGACGACAACGTAGTTCTCAGCAGAACGACCCCAGAGTTTATTCTGCATGCCGTATAATAGCAATGCGCCATACCTCCGATACGAGGTAAGCGAATGCAGGCATGAGCAGAGATCAGTTAGTATGACACGTGAGTGATGATAAAATCATGATGACACTCCATCTCCCTCGTTTTTCCCATTAATACAACATATCAATTATAAAACATCCAGCAGTGAGAAACAGAACAATGCAACAAAACAAAGCAACTTCTGTAAGTCAAGATACAACCATAAAATTTAAGCCTCTTCACGGGTCGTTCAGAACGAGTGATGTACGCGCCCTGCGTACTGCTCTCCTCTGGAGCTGCTGGATCAGAATTGGGTGCGGAAGGCTCTGTCAAGATCCCCTGGTTTCCTCGCTCTCCATCTCCCGCTCTCCAGGATCCTCTGGAATTTCACAGGAGGAATCGCCTTGTCCCTCTTCTTTATAGTGTCAGGCCTCGGCGGTTCTTTGCAGCTGTGCTCCTGTTTTTGTTTGCACCGGATAGGACCGTCGCCAAAAGGCTGGTCTCAGAACAGTAGCCTAGACTCGACAGTCCTTTACCCAGACCCAGTCTCCCAGTAGCAACCATGGAAGCGATCTCGCCGCGTGGCGGCGGCTGTAGTTGCGCCTTTGTGTCAGAAAGCTTCATCCTTCACTCTGAGACTCTGAAGGCAACTTGGACTTGACGGTGTAAATTCTTTAGGGTGCACAGGCAGCGTAGAGTGCAGGCGTCTGCCCATGAGCAGTTCCAATGGGCTTTTTGCCAAAGGACCGGGGGTACTCCTGTACGCCAGAAGCGCCAAGTATGAATCGGCTGATTTCTCGAGCAGCCGTTTCACGGTTTGAACTATGCGTTCAGCCTCTCCATTATATTGTGGGTACCTAGGGCTCGACGTCACGTGACGGAACTCGTAGCTTTTCGAGAAAGCTTCAAACTCTGCGGATACAAATTGACTACCGTTATCAGAAACTAAACGTTTTTAAATACCATGCATGGCAAAAAAAGCTTCTGAACTGTACAATTACAGCAGCAGAAGCTGTTGACGACAGCACAGCTACCTCTGAAAAACAGGAAAAATAGTTAACCACCACAAGGTACTCTTTTTCCTTGAAATGAAACAGGTCTGCCTCTAGCTCTTGCCATGGCAGAGCAGGGGTTTCTGATGGCAGCATTGGTTTTGCTCTATGAACCCAAAGCTTTGCACATTCCAGGCAATCGTTTACCAGAGATGCCAACTCTGAGCTCAGATCGGGCTACCAGACCACTTTGCAAGCCCTAGCGCGACACCTGACAATACTCTGATGACCTTCATGCAATGAAGAGAAAACTTCAGACTTTCTGAGAAATCACAAGGCGAGACCCACACATAAGTTCAACACCGCAAATAGCAAGGTTTCCACTTTCTGACCAATAGGGCCTGAACCAACTGTTCACATCTGTGAAGCACGGCCAGCCATTACAATACAACAAAAGCTGTTGGCATAAGCCATCTCGTTCTTGTGCCCTCCTTACTTTGTCAAGGAGCCCCGACAGCTTGACCTTGACCTCACTGATGAAGCCGGTTACAAAACTCAACACGCCCTCAAGTGGCAAATACCCCAAAGTGAAATCAGTTTCTCTCCGGGGTGCCCGAGAGAGGGTATCTGGAGTAACAATCTGCTTTCCGGGCACGTAAACAATTGAGAAAGAAAGTCGCATAAGCCTCTACCAAAATCCTTGTGCTCTTGGTGGAAGAAAATCTACTGGCAATTTCCCGAGGAGCGTCACCAATGGCTTGTGATCAGTCTCAAACAGAAAGTCAAGCCCCCTCAGAAAACATTCCAATCATTTGGCTGCCCACGTCAATGCCAGTGCTTCTTTTTCTACTAGTGCATATCGTTGCTCGAATTGCATTAACGACTGAGAAAGATGGGCCACGGGTAGTCCTTGCCCATCTGGCTGCACCTGCGTCAGAACCGCACAGATCCCGAACGATGACGCATCGGCTGATAAGACAGTGGGAAGCTTTGGATTGAATTTCGCGACACATTCCACACAAGAAATTAGCTCCGTCAAGGAGTCGAAAGATTTTTGCTGTGACAAGTCCCAGCAGCAATCCTTATCCTTCACAAGTAACTCGCGCAGATATCTCGGAGAGATTCGGAACAAACCTTGCCAGGTAGTTAATCATTCCCAAAACCCTGTGCACATCTGCAATGGATGAAGGTGTAGCCATATCTTTAAGGGGGGACGCGGGTTTTAAAACAGTAAAAAATCGCGAAAAAAACGTTTTTGAGAAAATTGTTTTTTTGAGGCCTTCATACTCTAAACTGCCTCTATGCAAAAGATCTATGCCGAAAACTATCTCAAAGCACGATAAAAACAACTTTATCATGAGCCGCGCTACTCCGGAGCGATGCACGAGCGTCGAAATGAGGCTGCACTTCGCGCAATCGCGATTCCGAAACTGCTCCACGAATCGCCGCCATTTTGATATCATTTGAAACCTTGTTTCGCGCCCTTTCTTTTGCCACCACTCAAGATGACGTCGGCGCGGCGCAGCCGATGCTGTCGCCGTTTTCCCGCGGCACGATCTCGAGCCGCTCATTGGCTGAAGCGCGCGCTCCCGGGAATGCGTCGCGGCTATTGGCTACTCTCCCCCCGTTTCTTTTTCCCGGCGCTTTCCACTCGCACGCGCCGGTCTCCGTCGCGAGCTCTGTCGTCTGCTCTTGTGTCTCCGCATGGTTTCGTTTTTCTGCTATTGGAGCGTTTTTCAAGATCGTCAAGCTTTGTCTTTGTAGATGTCTTGCTCGTCTGAGTAAGTTTTTCTGTCGTTGTTGTTCACGCACTAGTGTACACGTTTTCTGCGAACTTTCTTTCCGCATTTCTGTCACGCTGCACGTGGCGAAACGTGGTTACTGCGAGGAGCTGTGCTTTGTTTGAGAGCCTCGCAAGCAGCATGCGCGGAGATCATCGCTTGAGGTTGCGGACCCGTCAAGCGTACGGCAAGAAGCGCAAACGTGCTTGGAACAAGGGAGTGAAAGAGCCGATCGACAGTGCGCTGCATTCGTCGGAGCTGCGTGGGGATGACTCCGTCGATGACCCCGTCGACACCAACCCCGTCACAGCCGATCTCGAAGCTACGCCAAGTACGTCGGGCTTCGATGGAAACCGGATTGACACCACGTACTACACTGCGGAAGAGGAGTCCGAAGCTTTGAAAGAAGCTGAAGAAAAAAAGCGCCATTTGGCGTCGCAGTCTGCGAGTCAGCGGAAGTTCGACCTGCTCAACGTCGATTCGGAGAGAACTGAAGTTGACGGCGGAACGGAGTTCATCATTGTGAGCATGCAAGTACTGAACGATTTTTTTTCGCGAACTGCAAGGGGTGTGGTGCAAACACTGTGACCCTTGAGAAACGCGGGTCCGACTACGGCTTGGCGCACAGACTGGTACTAGTGTGCTCAACGTGTGAGGTGCGTGAGCAGCGCTTTTCATCGCCAAGGGTGGCCGGCGCCAACAAGATCACACCTTTCGAGGTGAACATAAGGGCGATGCAGGCAATGCAAAGCATCGGGAAGGGGTCGGCTGCCCTCACCGACTTTTGGGCGTGCATGAATGTGTCTCACCGGGGCCTCCATCACAAAACTTTCAATGGCCATATGGACAAAATGTTGCAAGCTGCTGAGGCAGCTGCTGCAGCCAGTGAAAATGAAAGTGCTGCAGTAATCAGGAGTCTTTACAAAGACTTCCTGAACCCTCCAGGTAACATTGATGTTATCTTCGACGGGACCTGGAAAACTCGGGGCCATGACTCGCAGATCGGTGTGGGATGCATAATTGAACTCTACACCGGCCTCGTGATTGACCACGAGGTGGTATCGAACTTTTGCTTGGGGTGCACGGTGGGGCCAAAGCCTGACAAGGAGAACTTTGAGGAGTGGCAAGAGAGGCACAAGTGCCAGAAGAGCAGCGACTGTAAGGCAGGCCGGATGGAAGTTGAAGAAGCCCTAGCCATGTTTCGTCGGTCCCTCGCCAAGCACGAGCTGAGGTACACGACCATCCTGTCAGACGGTGACAGCCGTACCTTTCATGCCCTGACGGAGGAGGAAGTGTATGGCTATGTGACCGTGCAGAACAAAGACTGCCTAAATCATGTACAAAAAAGGATGGGGACAGCTCTGCGCACTCTTGTGGAGAAAAAGAAGGCCCAAGGGAATCCCCTTGGAGGAAGAGGTCGGCTAACACAAGATAAAATGAAAAAAATAACCAACTATTATGGCTATGCCCTCAGAGGTCACAAACACGACGTGCCAGGAATGAAGAGGGCGGTGCAGGCTACGCTTCTGCACATGACCTCAACAGATTCTGCACCTGACCACAGCCTGTGCCCACAGGGTGCAGAGTCCTGGTGTGGCTTCAACCGCGCCCTCTCCGAGGGCAAAAAGCCACCTGTGCACAGGAACAGCCTGCCGACTGATGTCCGTGTGGCTTTGGAGCCAATATTTGCCCGGCTGAGCGACGAATCCTTACTGCAGCGCTGCAGTGACGGAAAGACTCAGAATGCAAGCGAGTCTTTACATTCTGTGATTTGGAGCCTTTCACCGAAGACTCAGCATGCTTCCCTGTTCAGCGTGCGGAGGGCAGGGGCAGAGGCAGTTTCCCGGTACAATCAAGGCGTGATGAAGACGAACAAGATTGTCACAGAGAGTCTCGGCTTCGCTCCTGGACATTGCCTTACCCGCAGGAGTCACGAGAAGGACCAACATCGGCTTCACAGGGCCAACAAGGTCCACTCAGAGAGTGAGAAGACTGTGAGGAGACTGGCCAAGAGGCACACAAGGGACAAAGACCAGGACTACAGCCCTGGACTGCTTTGAGATCTCATAAGGTGTTCGTGAACTTCGGGTGCCTGTATCTCTGTTCGTGTTTTCTTGAATATAACCACCACCTTACGGGCTTTTTCTCAGGTTTGCCTTGGGCGGTCAAAACAATTTTGGTATCATTTGATTCAGGATGGATAGAACTGTGCGGTGATGCTATTTTCCATTTATTATATGTTATGTAATGAACACAATTAATTATTTCTTGAAATTAATAGCAGGCCGATTTTGCAGCTTCTGAACATACATGTTTTTATACATATGTCACCACTAATGTTGGTCTAAAATAGCATCACCGCACAAAGCACACCTTGGTGAACACATTTCTATAAAAATTTCTGAAACTTTATGAAAACTTTTGCACTAATTACCCGTAACAAAGGGCCCAATTACATTTGACAAATTTGTTATAATTCAAGTTCCACTAGAGCTATCCGAAATCTAATTACATATTTGAAATCAGCAAGAAAAACCATGCTTACATGGTGAATATGATGAAGATCCTAGCATAAATAAAAAAAATGGCTCAAGAACCCACATGTCCCCTTAATTGCTCGTACCTTTTTCGAATCTGACCTCATTCCCATGGTATCCACAACGTAGCCTAAAAACGCCACTTCACGAACCGCAAACATACATTTGTCCCAATTAAGCATGATACCAGCCGTTTTCAACCGCTCCAGAACAGCAAGCAGCCTCACATCATGCTCCGTCTTTGTGGCTCCGAAAATTAAAATGTCATCCATCATGTTTGCTACTCCCTGCAACCCATCTGACTTTACCCATCCACTTCTGAAAAGATTCTGGAGCTGAGCTGACTCTGAACGGTAACCGCCGGAAGCAGTAGCGCCCAAATGAGATGATGAATCTCGTCAGCGCCTGACTTTGCCCTACCAACTTGATCTGGTGAAAAATCGAGTTAGTGTCTAACTTTGAAAAATAGGAAGCACCAGCCAATCAGCCTAAAGTGTCGTCCACTGTTGGCACTGTTGGCAAGACAAAGCATTCAAGCCGTACACTCTTGTTCAATTGAGCCAGATCTATGCAGAGGACAACTTCGCCGGAGGGTTTTTAGTACGGGCACTATGCCTGCACACCAGTCGTCTGGACTGTCTACCTTCCGAGTCACTCCATTGGCTTCCACCTTAGCCATTTCCGCTCTTACGGCATCCTTTAAGGGTATGGGAATTCACCCGGGAGGGAATATAGTGAAAGGTATCGCGTCGGCCTTCAAGCAAACGGTGTACTCGCCCGACATCGCGCCAAGACCAGAGAAAAGCTGGGGGTAGCGTCGCTCATACTCTTTATCTTCAAAAACATCCACAAATTTTACAACGCCGAGTGCCTCAATGGTTGGAAGCCCCAGCAAGACGGCGTGTGCCGATTGCACGACGTACAAAGTCTGTTGTGTAGTTTTGCACCTCCAAAAGACGTTGTCTTCAAACGTGCCTTTCAAACAAAGGCGCCGATTTCCAGCGCCAGTTAACACCGCAGTTGATGCTGTTAACTTAGACGGCATGCCTGGAAAGCTGGGTGGAACTATTGACGCTTCTGCTCCCGAGTCCAACCCTGCCGACACCAGCACCTCATTTATGAATAGTCAAACAAACCTAGCCTTTGAAGCCACAACCAATCCTACAAAATAGCCAGGCTATTCACACTCAAGCAAAGAAACGCCGACCTTCGGGTTCTCGAACTTACTGTGGCAAACTGCAGCAAAATGTCCCCTGGTGCTACAATGGTGGCAATGCGCCGAGCGTGCGGGGCACCGAGTCCTGATGCGATTCAAGCGTTTGCAATACTGGCAGAGTTGCCACCGCTGGTTTTATGGCGAAAGTTGCCGCTGGTGCTGAACTGTAGGTCGCTGACTGTGCATGTCGCCGAATGTCCTGTTTGCGCCGGCCGTCGCTGTGCGAGCACTCTGTTGCCCCATGGCGTCCACTTTCCCCGACGTTGCTGCATCGGTGTTCGGCCGTAGCTCCTGCCGCCTGATGACGAACAGTCTCCTTGAGCCGGGCCATAGCTGGTGCCGTTTCGAGTGTGAGAGCGGCATCCATTTGGAAGTCTTGGCATTTGTGTAAATGTATGCACCTCGCACGATTTGCGAAGACAAAAATTTATCCAATGTCGACAGAATGCAAGAGGCTGTACATCTCATTCAAGCATTGCCCAGAGACAACCTACGAGCTGTGGCCACCGTCTATCATCAATTCTCAATAGGACTACCTTTGTGGTCGAGACACTAAAGATTACAAACGTCTGGCAACACAAGGGCCATGGCTCCTCAAAAGCAGGCGTCATTTAAGTATGAAGTGACTGACACTGATAACTTGTACGGTGAATTCATGAGACTGAATTGATGTTACTTACCTTCGGCCATTGCCGAGGTTGATTCGTCACTCACGGCTGGGCTCCAAGGCTGCATGCTTGCGCCATCTGTTGGGACGATAGGCACACAATCACATCATTTGTGTAAATGCATGCTTCAGCTCGCACAATTTCTGAGGACGAACTTTTACCAAATGTTGACAGAATCCAGGAACAAGCTGTACGTCTCGTTCAAGTATTTCCCAGAGACAACGTACAAGCTATGGCCACCATCTACCATCAACAACCTGTGTGGTTGAGACACTAAAGATTGTTAACGTCTAGCAACATGAGCGCCATGGCTCCTCAAAAACAGGCATCCTTTGAGTATGAAGTGACTGACACTGATTGTGAAAAAATTGTAAGGGTGCAGGCGAGCTGGTGGAAGTTAACCATAGTTTTGTTTAACCCGAGACTGGGGTATTTCGGAAAAGGGACGAGAAGAAAAGAGGCCACAAGGAGGCGACACGCCTCCTTGTGGCCTCTTTTCTTCTCGTCCCTTTTCCGAAACAGACGTCGCCTCCTTGTGGCCTCTTTTCTTCTCGTCCCTTTTCCGAAACAGACGTCGCCTCCTTGTGGCCCCTTTTCTTCTCGTCCCTTTTCCGAAATACCCCAGTCTCGGGTTAAACAAAACTATGGTTGACACTGATTACTTGTACGGTCAATTCATGAGACTGGATTGGCGTCACTTACCTTCAGCCATTGCCAAGATTGCTTCGCAGCTCATGGCCGGGCTCCAAGGCTGCATGCTTGCGCCACCTGTTGGGACGATAAGCACACAATCACATCATTTGTGTAAATGTGTCCTTCAGCTCGCACAAGGACAAACTTTTACCGAATGTCGACAGAATGACAGAATGCAGGAACAAGCTGTACATCTCATTCAAGTACCGTATTTGCACGAATATAACGCGAGGGCAGGTTTTGATGCCCTCAAGAAAAAAAAAAATATTACTATTAGAACGCGAACCGAGGCCGCGTCAATTTTTCGCACTTGGGGGCATAGCAGATGTGAAAAGTCAATGGAATTAGAAGAAATATCAGTTTATGTTTTGACTGCACTCATCCTCACTGCTCAGGTCCTTCCGTTTACAATCCACTTGGCGACTACGCAGATAAGCAGCAGCACGGCACCTGCTTGTCTGGTAGTTCCTTTTTCTTCCGTGCGAGCTCCTCAACAGCCCACAATCCAAACAAGGCACGAAGCACAAGCACCAACACACAAACACCAGATCACTCTGGAGCAGAAACTAAACAAGGCGCAGAAGAAAAAAGACTGCTGAATCCGATACACGATCGCACTTCTTGTTCTGGTCCCTCTGCATAAACAAATGCCTCGTGTCGCACGATCGCGTAACGCGGTTGGTGGTCTTGGCTTGGCTTGTGTTGACTTGACTTGCCCAGCTTGGCTTGGCTCGAATTGGCCAGTGCCCGCATTCCCGCATGGCGTGTGCGCGCGCTGAGTTTCTGCGGCGTGCGCGCGTTGTACAAACGCAAAAAAGATAAAAATATTTTTTTATGTTTTCTATTTGCCCCTGCACGTGGCCCAATAGCTAATAAATTCCCTTCCCCGCACTCACTTCTTTTCTCACCGGATATTTTGCATTGAGCCAAAGGGATGGCTTTCTCCTCTGGCTTGCACCAGACTCGCGCACCTCGTGGCCGAAATCTATACCGAATATAACGCGAGGTGCGTTTTGGAGCACGTAATTTCGAAAAAAAACTCGCGTTATATTCGTGCAAATATGGTATTTCCCAGAGACAACCTACGAGCTGTTGCCACCGTCTACTATCAATTCTCAATGGGACGTATTTTCGCAATTCTAAGCACCACCCCACTCTCAAACATAAACACCTGGAAAAAAAAGTTTGTATGCGAACGTAAGCACCCCCCTCCCAACAAGAAATATGAGATTGGAGACGCCGGTATCGCTGAGCGCCGGAGCCGCAAACGGCCGCTGGAGCTTGGTTTCAACGTCAGTTAATAGATGGCAGCACATAGCGCCACTTTCCACTTTCGCAACCGTGCAGGTAGTGTAGGGAGTGCAGGTGCGTTGCAGAGTTGTGGTGCATTGCCGTACCCTCTATCGAAGATGTTTTGTCTGTTTGGTCTCCTTGTGCTTGTTGTAGTCGGTTTAGTCTGTTAAGCCTATTCACCTGCGTAGATCTCGCAATCGCACTCCGTTTACTGTATGCACGTGGTTTGCGGAAGTCGTCTACCATGAGTGCGAAAAGGACTTCATACACAATGAAGTTCACGAGAACGGGCATTTCTTACAAGGAAGACAACGGAAATCACGGCGCTGCTAAACAGTTCGGAGTGGACAGAGCATCTGTGATTCGGTGGAGGAGACAGTGGGATCAGATTTCCAAGGGCTCCGCGACCCGCAAAAAGTTTTAGGGGACTGCGCAGGGGCCAGCACACGGAGCTCAAGAAGGAGGTCTGCGAATATGTCCGCAGAAAACAATGCGGTGGCTTTGCTGTCACTGCCGATTCCATACAAAGGAAGGCTACGGAAATCGCCACACGAACGCAAACTCCCCGTTCGGCATTCCACGCAAGCCGAGGCTGGGTAGAGCGGATGATGAAGAGGAACGGCTTCTCTTTGAGATGCCGCACCACTATCTGCCAGAAGCTACCGGTGGACTTCGAGGACAAGCTTGTCAACGCTATGTGATGAAGCTGCGTCGCAAATCTCGCTATGGACTCGGGCAGATCGGTAATGCCGATGAGACCCCGGTGTACCTCGACATGCCAAGGATGTGCACCGTGAACGAAGTAGGCGCTCGAGAAGTAAAAGCGCGTACGACTGGCTATGAGAAGCAAAGGGTGACCATGATGCTGTGCATCATAGCCGACGGTCGGAAACTTGCACCCTACATCATCCTCAAAAGGAAGAACATGCCAAAGAACAAGACTTTCCCGAAAGACGTCGTCGTAAGGGTACAGAAGAAGGGGTGGATGACGAGTGAGCTGATGCAGGACTGGATCAGAGTTGTGTGGCAGCAGCGGCCGGGAGCATTACTTGGCGGTCCCAAAGGCACTAAGTACATGCTCGTGCTTGATCCGTTCGGCGGTCACCTAACCCCGGAGGTGAAGGCAACGCTGGACAATAACTGTGACCTGGTGGTCGTTCCAGGGGGGATGACGTCTGTGTTACAGCTCCTGGACGTCTCCGTGAATAAACCGTTCAACGAAACCTTGCAGCAAGAGTATGAGAAGTGGATTCGTAGCCCCGACCGGAAGAAGACGGCGACGGGAAAGCTACAGAAAGCCTCTCCATCGACCGTGGCGACGTGGATCTCAGATGCTTGGAAGAAGGTCTGTGCCGATGTTGTGGTGAAGTCTTTTAAGAAGTGTTGCATCACCAATCGTCGTAAAGGCACCGAAGACGACCTCTTTTGGAATACCGACAGCAGCAGGAGCAGCAGCTCCAGGCGGGGGCACCGACGACTCGTCGTTAAGTGATAGCGAGAGCAACTAGTCGACCGTGGTGCAAACTGACGGCAAGCGGGCTACTCTCCACTCTTTACTTTATTTCCTCTAGAACATTTATTCTTTCATTTTGATTATAATAAATTCATATTTCTTTTGCAAATTTCGTATTTTCGGGACATGTTCCAAATCTAAGCACCCTCCAATCTTTGAACATCGCGTGTGCGAAAAAAAGGGGGTGCTTAGAATCGAGTAAATCCGGTACCTTTGTGGTCGAGACATAGAAGGTTTTTAACGTCTAGCAACATGAGGGCCATGGCTCCTCAAAAGCAGGCATCTTTCGAGTATGAAGTGACTGACACTGATAACTTGTACAATGAATTCATGAGACTGAATTGATGTTACTTACCTTCGGCCATTGCCGAGGTTGATTCGTCACTCACGGCTGGGCTCCAAGGCTGCATGCTTGCGCCACCTGTTGGGACGATAAGCACACAATCACATCATTTGTGTAAATGCATGCTTCAGCTCGCACCATTTCCGAGGACAAGCTTTTACCGAATGTTGACGGAACGCAAGAACAAGCAGTTCATATAATTCAAGTACTGTCCAGAGACAACCTATGAGCTGTTGCCACAGTCTATCACCAATTCTCAATGGTACAGAGCCAATAGACTCAGAAAAAGATGCCATGAACAGCCATTACCTTTCTGGTTGACCCATTGAAGGTTTTTAAAGGAAGCTGAAAAGCTTTTAAAAAAAAAAGAGTTAATGGTTGATTTTGACACGTTTCTGCCTGCCGAGTCCGAATATCACAACCGTTTAACCCAAAATAATCACTATACAAGAAAAAAACAGAAGCGATCGCCGCAGCGGCACGCCATGGGCTAGTCACGCATGACGCGCCATTACGTCCCCATAAGAGGACCATCTCGATTCTCAATTGAGGAAGTGGCCGTGCGCCGAGGCTTCTGCTCTTGTAAATCGGGTTCGGCTTTGATTTTTAGAAACCTTTCGGTGGATCCGACAGAGAAATGTGTCCAGAGGACCCTCGACATGACAAAGTATGCGTTCCAGCTGTTGGCAAAACAGAAAAGTTACCCCCCGCAGTGATGAGGGCGGACACAAGGAACCGCTTGCGCCAACGCGGCATGGTTGACTTCATTCGTTCAGGGACATACTAACTGCTACTTATTGTAACGTAAAACGTTGACAAAAAACGGAGTGCTATTGATGGGACGCGTCAAGCCAGATTTGCGTGACCCTCCCCGAAATGGTCGCCAGAGGACAAAAATTCTGCACACATCGGCCTTCATGCTTGGCAGCTGCTGGACACGCGAGTGTGCAGGCTGCATTGTTCACCAAGGCTGAAGTGGTTTGAAGGGACATTATAATCGGCTTTGGGTGACGGGAGAGCTTCCCCTGAGGCGAGACGGGTGATGAGACAGAGTCGCCGTTCTTCCACCATGATGTCCTTGCATACTATGGGAATAACTGCGTACAAGGTCCGTCCATGTGATAGCGATACCCTCTACTGCATTTAGTTTGTTTGCCATCAACTATTACGCCATTACAGCTTTAGAAAAAAGCGGAGATGTGTGCCCGGCAGCCGTCATTTTGATGTTGGATTCGTGAAAGCTTTCTGGGCCTCTACATTCACATACTTCTATAAAGATTTGTTGCCTGCATTAGACCGCCACCAAGCATTATCATTGTATGATCACATTTCTACAGCACAAAGAACCATTGCATGACACAAACTTTATACAGAAAACACTGCGTAACTTGTAAAAAAAGAACTCAATTCACAACAGAATGTCACATGCTTTGTATCTCAAAAAAACTCTCCTGAAGAGAATATGGATCTATGGAAGGAAAATTTAACAAAAAAACAAACTTGTAAAAAAAAAAAAAAAATCTTGGATAGTGGAGTTGGTCCAGGAAATATGATAAGAAACCAACATTTAAACACTAATATATGGCGGTTAACACAAAAGAGCCAGTGGAAGCCCGGTCAATATTAAGCCACATGATAGCGACTTTTCTAGTACACTGCACAATTTATTATTGACGCTCTATCGTTCTCCTTTAGTGACTTCTTCAGTGCTTCCAATACACATGAGATTGATGCTAATTTTTAGTGGCAGTTTTTTTCATATATTGTTCTTGACTGCGTTTAAAAATTTGTGCTAAAAAAAGTGAAGTTTATGAATGAAAAAAATCCGTGGATAAATAGGGAAATTATTCAAATGCGCCGTAGACTCTTTAGACTTTGCAAACGATCGAAAGACGCAAACCTCGTTGACCAATTAAACCACAAGCTTAAGGATACAATCAAAGAAGCCAAGCATTGACTCTTTAATGTAACAGAGCCCTCCTTTCTCAAGTCCTCGCCTGATAAGTTTTGGCGTTCTATATCGCCCTCTAAACCAAAAGCAAACGAGTTGAATGTTAATAATGAAACTGTGGATGACCCCTATTATATTGCTCATGCTTTAAATAAATATTTCACGCCCGTTTTCAATTTGGACAATGGTCACAGTCCGGTATTTGATGCAATTCGAGAAGACAGCGATTGCGCTAGGAACTGTTTGCCAGACACAGTGATGTGATTGGCCTAAGCCATTTTGGAGCACCTTTCGGAGCAGCCAAAACAGTGTTTTGGAGCAGCCCAGACAGTGTTTCGGAACAGCAAAAAAGGCTTTTGGAGCAGATATTCTTAGAAAAATAAAAATATTCGTTTTTAGTGCTGTACATACGAAGGGCACTTTGTGATGCATTGTGTTCTGATGTGGCGTATTCTGACGGAACTCGCTGCCTGTGTTTCTACTGCTGAGACATCCCACAAGTGTACAGTGCTGTAGGCAGTGCCGAGCAATTTCGAAAAACCGCTTGCCACCGTTTTACTGGTTCCCGACGTGCCAGATTCTAGTCAAAAGTAAGCAAACGTAAAACAATGAATTGCAAGCGTCCCGGCTGGTGCTTCTGTCGTGCAGTCATGTTCGCATGAACGTGAGGCCAACTTCGGCAGGCTTCCAGTTTCGCGTGCTTCGTCGCGCGAGCTGAGACAACGGTTGTTCGATCGAAACCGAAGCCATGCCACTCTGCTCCGTCGCCAACTGATCCCCAAAATTGTATGCAAGATGTAACTATCGAGCATACGACAATAAACAGTCCAGCGGCGTGTGCTTGCCAGGCCGGCAAACAAGGTACAAACTAAACATACAAAAAAAAAAAAAAAAAAAAAAAGGGGGTGGGGGAAGTACCTGAGCTATCGATGCAAGACATCGCGAGCCAGGGTCAAAAAGTTCTTGGAGCGCTTTGTGCAACGACTGAACTGGAGACAAACAAGCGCGCTGTGAGGATTCATCGTGCAGACATTGCCTTCTTTGCCTTAGCTCACTGCTTTTCATCGACCTTCTTTCGCGGGAGATCTTTCACGTAGCTGGTTCCCTCTCGAAAGAAAACCCACCCAGAGAAACCTAGGTAATCAATACTTCGACACAGCAGTCTCTGAGTTAAAGAGGGATTTTTGTAGCAACGCATGATTTAAACAAGAACAGGAATGTTGATGAACGTGCGGCGGTACTTAGTTTCATTTTAGAAAGCGCCATATCTGCAGCTTCGTGGGGACGGCAACACCCAACGTCGCGCGACCACGGTGACTGGAAGGCAGGGACCAAATATAGTTTTCCTACAGCCGTTGCTTTCAGGAGCGAGTGCTTCAGCTCACAAAGTAACTCCCGCCGCGCAAAAACGGGGTTTCGTTTCACAGCATGACGGCATGGTTGGTACCTGGCACGCTAGCGTCGGAGAGTCCGTACCAGGGTGTAAGATAGACAGGTGGGGAAACGAGAGCCAAATGAGCGACCGGATTGTGTCCCCCTCGTTTTTCTCTTTTTCTGTGGCGCCATCTATGTGGAGCACCGCGAACTCTCACCCCGGGTGGGCGACCTTTGGTGACCGGCTAAACTGACGGAGATGGTTTCTCGTGGATTTTCAATTGAGGACTGCCGTGCTCTCGTTTTATTTTCCGCACTCTCCCATAGAGTTCCATGCAAATCCGACTACGATTTTTTTCCTCTCGCCGCAGCGCCATCTGTCGGAAATCGGGGGTACTCGCAAGCAGACGAGTACACAATCCGGTCACGGCGCGGCGGTAAACTTCTATGGGCCGTTTCCCCACCTGTCTATCTTACACCCTGGTCCGTACACACCCGCGTCTATCATAATAATAAAAAAAAAAAAAAAAAAAAAAAAAAAAAGGCCCGAGACGAGATTTACGAGACAAGAGCGCGAAACGCGAGACGGCGAGAAAACCATGCAAGACCGGATGGACGATTAATGGAGGGTACTTAGTGTCGGGCTCAATTGCTCATGCTCAATTACGGTACTCAGTTTAGTTTCGGTCTTGAAAGGCGACCGAAAGTGGTCCTTTGGCGCAGGCTTGGCACAGATTACCCGTATTTTGGCAAAATGTAGCACGATGTAGCAGGGTTAGCCCCTTAGCGCAGTTTGGCGCAATTGGCGCAGCAATCACATCACTGCAGACATAACAATTTCGGAGGAGGGTATTCTAAATTATATCTTGAATATTAACATTAAAAAGGCAGTTGGGCCGGACGGAATTCCCGATGCTTTTCTGAAAAGGTATACAGAATGGAGCGCTAAGTATTTGAGTGTAATATTCAGAAAGTCGCCAGAAACTTGCACTGTACCTTCAAAATGGAAAATAGCAGAAGTGATTCCTATCTTTAAAGCCGGTGACTCAATGGTTGTCTCCAATTATCGACCTATTTCCTTGCTCAGTATTTGTAGTAAAATTTTGGAACATATTGTATTTAAACACATATCGGCATATCTGGAGCAAAATAGTTTTTTTACTAAGGCGCAACATGGTTTCTGACAAAAAGTGTCTACCATCACCCAACTGACGGAAACAGTGCACGAGTTGGCGTCAACAATCCATACTCGAGGGCAAACTGACGTTGTATACTTGGACTTTCCAAAAGCGTTCGACCGCGTTCCACATGAGAAGCTACTAACAAAATTGGCGGTTGTCTTAAGTAATACTAATATCTTTAGGTAGCTAGAAAGTTATTTGACTATGAGACAACCATTTGTACAATTTAATAGAGCGTGTTCCGGTACTACACACGTTACGTATGGTGTTCCTCAAGGATCAGTTCTCGGGCCTCTCTTGTTCTTAATATTTGTTAATAATATTGTTTGTGAAATCCCAGTCAAGATATAATTGTTTGCAGATGATTGTGTTGTTTTTAAGGAAATCAAAATTCTCGGAGACTGTGAAGTATTAAATTCCTAGCTAGAAAGATTGTCTAAATGGTGTGCCGATTGGCAAATGTCATTGAATTCATCATAGACTTGTTTGTATGTCTATAACTCGCAAGAAAAGTCCTATACTTTTTAATTGTTCTATTGGTAACTATAGCCTTCTTAGAGTTTGCTCATCTCACTATCTGGGTTTGACTATAACATCCGACGTAAAGTGGAACACGCATGTTAGTAACATATGTGGTAGAACAATGAGTAAGTTGGGTTTTCTTCGCAGGTATATGAAGGATGGCCCCCTGAGACAAAGTTATTATTACTATAAAACTCTGGTTAGGCCAATGTTAGAATACGCTAGTGTCATCTGGGATCCCCACACATCATGTTGTACTTCAAAACTCGAGAGATTTCAGAGATTAGCGGTGCGTTTTGTGTACAATATGTATTTTTCTTATGTGTCCCCCACAAAACTTTGTACTGAGGCGGGCCTGGAAACCCTACAGGAAAGAAGAATGAATTGTATAAAATTTCTCTATCTTCTTGTTAAAATGAGCTTGGAATAGACAAAGATGATTACATTACATTTTTTTGCCACAGGTCTAATAGGCATTTTCACAGCAAAACAATAAAACCATATAGTTATAAAAATGACGCATTTAAATACCCTTCTTTCCTCGAACAATTATTGATTGGAATAGTTTGCACCTGATGTTGTAAATACTACTAACTTTTTAGATTTTTGTTTCAAGTTATTGCAGCAAGTGCAACCTGTGTGATACTGTTTCATCCACTCCTGTAACAAGATCGAAAGAGGTTAACAGTATTAATAAAGAAAGAAAAAGAAAACTCTAATAACGTAATAGCTTTTTTCTAGAAGAGTCGACCTACCATTCCTACCTAGGTTCATCTCCTCTTTGCGTGTTCCTTTTAACGCACTGAATTGCCTTCTACCTTCAAAGATGGTCGGCAGAACGTCGGGTTCAGGCGAGCCTTCTTCAGGCCCAACCGATACACACATTGTTCTCATATGTGCCGTCCGGAACACGTTCCGAACCAAAAACTGTGTACTTGCTCAAACTCCTGTTTGCATAGCGGGAATCCACCCCTTTAAAATCTCGGTGTCAGAGTCAAAAAGGCGGTAAGCGGGAAGAACAATTTCAACGAGCGCTGTACGGGGGAATTGATGGCTACACATGAGTAAGGCATTGTGCAACAGCACGAGTCAGTTGGTTCGGTGCCACGAGAATTCCGCAAACCCGTGAACAAACAAGAGAACAATCAACACGTCAGGCGATTAAGTCAATAGTAAGAGCGATCAATGGATAAAAGCAATTGCGCTATGCAGCGGCAGGACGATGACGGCTTGAAAAGTCAGTAGAGCAGCCTATGAGGGAAGCGCAGCCAGCCGCGGCGGGGTCCCCCAGCCAAACTTTTTGTGACGTCGGCCAGCGGGCTTCCTTCTCTCTCCACTTTCCCTCTGCTTTGGAAGGGTATGGCTTCAGCACTACTTTGAAGGCGCTTTTCCGGTTAATCCGTGCATGAAATGACCAAACGAATACAATATTTGTGATGGCTGAGGTCTAATTAACTATGCTCAGGTGTTTTTTCTCATATTTAAAACTGCTTCAGCTTCCCTTTAACAGCTAGCAACATGAGAGCCTTGACTCCTCAACCACAGGCATCTCTTGAGTAAGAAGAGAGTGATGCTGCAGAGCACTGATAAACTCAAAGGTGAATTGATGTCACTTGCCTTCAGCCATTGCCATGACTGCTTCGACGCTCACAGCCGAGCTCCCAGGCTACATATTTGCATCACCTGTTTGAACAAAACATACAATCCCAGAATTTGTGCAAACGCATGCTTCGACTCACACTATTTCTGAGGACAAACTCTTACCAAATAACAGAATACGAAAAGAGCTTGCACCTTGTTCGTCTATCGCTCGGCAGATCAATGCCACCTATATTGCATCAATTTGTCTTGTTGTGGTATTTCAATACTCGTATGCTTCGCAAGAGTTAGTCGTTTTCAAATGTGTCAACAATTATCGTCCCGCCAAAAACATGCCAGTAATGCCTTTTTGAAGACATGCCTTCTGCAAACAGTAACACGACCAATTATGTATTAAGCATTTTGACAAACTAGGTGTAAATCAAATAAACTGCAACCAAATATGTCCCAGTTTTTCCTGATTCTTACAACTCACCTACTGCAGTCGCTAACTTCAGAAGAGCAGGTGTAGAAAGCACCTCACTAAGAGGCGAAAAATCAGCTGAAATCGGCCCAGTAGCATCCAAACTATGCCACTGTACCGCTTGTTATAAAATGTCCTTAATCATTTTAAAAACCTGACCCTAAAACCCTAGCTAACTAGGATGAGTAAAGCTATGCACTACGTAGTGCATCTCAACCGGAAATGGACATACGCACAACGCATTGAGCTCGGGCCATTAGGATCACGCTTTTCGGATGGCGCGTGCATCACAGGGGAGTGCGTTAACCCACCCTCCTGCCTGCAGTCATGCCGCTTTGCGGCGACGGTCTGTGGCTGCTAATTACAAGACTATTGACCCACTTGGCCCTCCAAAAAAAGCTGCTTTGCGGCGTCCAGCCGGCAACCCGAGCCCGCTGTCCCTCATTGCGCCTCCATACCATTTAGTTCAGCAAAGTTTCGTGGACAACATGTGGTTTTTTTTACAGTGATAATTGTAAAAAAGAAATGTCAATATCACCAAACAAATGCTGCAGATTAAAGTCGGGACCGCTGCATATAAAGCTTATATAACAAGACACCTCTCTACTATGCTACGCCACCACTTCAGAAACTTTAGTTTTGACCAGTCGTTTATACGAAACCGAACAAGTTTCGCGTCATGCAAGCCTATAGCCATTTCTGGTCGAAATGCATGATGTAGTGCGTATAGCTTTACTCATCTAAGATAAACAATAAAAAATAAAAAGAAACCCTCCAGAGTAGTGATAAACACATCTCACACGAAAAATGACCGAATTGCGAACCAAAATAAACAGTCCTTGGAAAGAAACTCGAGGTTAGTTATTCTTATTAAACTACCGGAAAGCGAAACGATTTAATACGAGATGCAAACATCTTTTTTAAAGGCGCGCAGAACGAACAAACGGCCATAATCACGATCGTAGGAAGAATAAGTATAGAGTTCAAAGTACAACTGTACTTACATCACACAGATCTATGTCGGGGAGGCCGCCTTGCATGCGTCCGTAGTTTCAAGTGCGCGAAAATCGAAGGTACGGCGTTCGGTTTTAGCTTGCGTTTTCCGCCTGTTTGGTGTCTTTCAAACGCGTCTGGCGTAAAATGATCTTGTCGGTTAAAGAGGAACGTGCATGCCCGACGAGCGACGATCTCGCTTGCCCGATGGCCTAAAAGCTTGCCCTAAAAGACGACGCCACAGGCCACAAGGTCACCGCGCTGCGATGACTTCGGTCGTCGGAGCTCTTTTAGATTTGCTTTTCAATAAACGTTTTCATCCATCCATCCATCTTCCTGTCGTTCCTGACGAAGCCTGGCAGATCGCCACGAGAAGCGTCCGCCGAAAAGGAAAAGGTGGAGCAGCGGCACGGCGGCACAGCGGCAGACAACGGATGAGAGGAGAGCCACGTGACTGGCGCCCCGCTGCGGCTAGGGTTGTACGAGTTGTAAGGGGACCAGGGGGACTATCCAACCTGTCCACTTCGCGGAGAGGAAGAGAACGAGGTTGGACCTGAGTTGGACGCTTGGAACGCTTGGAACGGGACGGGACCTGCGGATGCAGACGACGACGTCGCGCGGAGGGAAACGGAAGACACGAAGCGCTGCCTGGTGATGCGGGAGAGACTTTGCCACAATATGGAAACTCGCAACGGCCGTGGACTTCAGAAGTGAACTGAGTGAACTTTCATAAAGTGAACACTTTATTTTATTATGAAACCAGAGGCACTCTTCGAGAATACCCGCCCTGATCTAAAAGGGACTTTGTTTGCTTTGTTCACCTGAGCTTCAGTCACCTGGTGTGGAATGCTTAAAACTTTTTTTTTAACCCATATATTATTTGTGAAACAAGTCATAACATCTATGGGTCGCCCTATATTTAGGATAATAATCTCATTACTGGTGGAATTACTAACAACAAGGAATCTGACGGTTCTTTGAACATTGTTTGATTGAAGCAGTTTTATTTATGCCAGTGAGCCAAGTCAAGTCGAACCGAGCCACAAAACATCTCTCTTCGTGCAGCCATCGCAACATCTGCGGTTTGCGATTACGATGTGCGTGTTTATGTCAAATTTAATATTTAGACGCCGGCCGCATTATATTTTCAATCGTGCCTGTGCCTTTCGAGACATCTTGAAGAGCTTCCCAACTTCCTTACGTCCATCGGAACGTTAACCGGGGCAGAGCGAGCGACAGAAAAAACAAGTTACAAGCCGGGCACGTGAGTACACCTTCCTGCAAGTCCGTCGACTGTCCGTGTTGTCCGGCATTGATCGATTCGTCATCGGTTGTTTCGTTCGTCTAGGATAAGCCTACACACCCGCCAGTGTCTCCTCCTTCCTTGATAACTCATGTATGTATGTATGTATGTATGTATTTCTGACGGCAATTGCTCTTTTTAACGAGCGTCTATAAAACACACCCGTTTGTGTTTGGGTTCGGACATTTCTTCGAACGCCGTTTCATCGAACACCGTTTAATCGAACGCAGTTTCATCGAACGCCGTTTCATCGAACGCCGTTTACTAGAGCAGTAGGAATTCTACATCTAGGAAATAGGTTTCTTTTAAGCGCCGGGAGGGTAACAGCGTTTTAATATTTATTATAATTTATAAACTTATCTATATATAAAAGGAAAAAAAACCTTTTTTTGTCGCCTTCCATTTTTTTTTTTTTTTAGTAAATGATGACCTGTCTTAATGTGGCCAATAAGAAACGAGAACACTGACAACACTCTTTAAAGCTGTGATCATCAGGTGCAGTGATGAACCCATGTCTGTTCAAGGGCGTATATATCTTCGTCCTTTAAGAGACCTGCTTCAAGACGAAGCCGTCCTTGAAGCAGTGATCTGTCTCTGTGTCCCATGATACGGGGGGGGAGGGAACGTGTCTCCCCTCTTTGTTAATTGATTGTAACTGACAGACCCATAGACCTGCCGGATATTCGACATATACAGTATATATACTGCATGTCAAAGATCCGACAGGTGCACGGTTCTGTCGGTTACAATAAATTAACAAAGAAGGGAGACACATCTTTTTTAAGAACATATATGTTCTGAAAAAGAAAGCTATTCTCCTAGGATAAAATGTAAACACTGGTAAATCGACAATTACAAAACAAAAAAGGCGCTGCGCAGAATAGTTGTTTCTCTTAAAGACCGATGACTAGTTCGCGCTTTCCACTTTTCCACCGCTTCCTCATCTGCCCCTTCTACCCTGTCTACCGTTGCCTGTTTCCTCCTCTCCCATGGTGAGGTGAATTTTCTGCCTTGCGGAATCTCGAGTCTGGTCGTCGGCCTTTGAGCAAGTGCCTTTCACGCGTGAATAAATAGAGGGATGAAGTAGGGACAAGTGTGTGGCTGAGAACAGCCACCTACCTCGCAAGAAAATAAGTGGCGTATCCAGTCAAGTTTTGACATTATAGTTACCTTCTATGATTCAGTAGCCAACGTTTAGGTCGACAAAAAATTGACCGGGTAATTCTATTTCTGGTAAATTTAGAGCAGCGTCGAAACTATTTCAAAAGTGATAGTAAATTATGTAAAAAGTTCTGTATTACTACGAAATTCAGTAAAGGGAAAATCAATGAAACGGCGTCAAGTGATTCAATGAAACGGCGTTCGATTAAATGTCCACTTATTCAATGAAACGGCGTTCAATAAAATGTCCGGTACCAGCTAGTGTCTCCTTCTTCCATGATACCCCATCTGTATATGTATGTATGTATGTGTTTCTGACGGCAATTGCTCTTTTTAACGAGCGTCTATAAAATAGACACACCAATTAAGAAAAGAGGAATATAATGAAAATAAAAGGAACTACAAAGTCAGAGAAATGGTTCTTAGTCACTCCGAACTATCACGAGTAGAGTGTCCACCATGCCTCGAGCTTCCTCTTTGAGCACATCACCATGTTTGTTCCCCTCCGTAAAACCTAGGACCTGCGCAATGCGGGTGCAGACGTCTGTCGCAGGTACAATTGCCAGACACTCAAGGAGCAAGTGTTGGATAGTTTCTTCCACCTAACCACATGCGCTGCACAAGGGTTTCAATCACGTTCACGTTGGACCGCTGCCTGTAGATGCGGGTGCGCAAGTCACCACCGCAGGCCTCGGCAAGGAGCCGGCTGCCCAGTGTATTTCCACACCAGTGGACGGGAGCGGTGTTGGTCTTGATAGCCGCATATGGTCCATGCTGGAATGTTCTTCCATGTCAGCTCTCCACCGGCTCTTCTCGGCGGTGTTTATCTGTCCTCTCACCTTCGCAACCCAATCTTTCTTTGTAGGGGGCTTGTCGCTCATCGAGAAGGTGCCTTACTTTGTCTCTAGTCAATTGGTACGCCGCCTTCATGTCGTGTGTAGGTTCTTTAAAATGAATGTATATAAAAACCCTTCGTGCCCAGCGATCTCCACTCATATGTCGCAGTCTGGCGTAATACTCCAGCTTGCTGCTGGCCTCCCGTGCCTCAAACGAGGGCCAGCCAAGGTCAACTTGGACAAGCCGATCAGCCACTCTCCCGTGGCATCCCAGCGCCTGACGCCCAATCTCTCTTTGCCGTCGCTCAAGGTGTTCCCTAATCTCGCTGGGGACACGGCATTGACGAAAGTAAGGCCTGGCACAGCGACAGCTTTCCACAGTTCTCGGGTTATTAAATAATGGTCGCAGCTCCACAGGCTCTTTTGACGAAGCGCATTGCATTTTCTCAGTGCCGATGTCTTGAGGTTCTGGTGGTGTTCTGCCAGATAATCCGCTGAAGTAGTTAGGGTCACCACGAGGTGTTTGTACTTGGTACTAACAGGAAGCAGAGCGTTCTGAATGACAAGGAATTCAAGGCCTTCCATTTTTCCAGAGAAAAGGACAATTGCAGACCTTTTGGCATTGAACCGTAGTCGAAGTCCAGCCACTTCGGTTTCACAAGCAACCCACAAGCTGCGTCTTTTTTTTTGGCTATACAAACAAACAAAGAACCCCTCAGTCATGCAAAAAATACATAAAATCTGACGTTTTACTAGCCATCCCGCACGGCACCATACTCGCGCTGAAAAATACAGGTAACCTTGATTTGCTGCATAGTTCAGCCCTGCACGTGTAGCTGTGGCTGTCTGCTGTCATGGTTGTGAGGATGGCGATGTGCCCAAAATGCACCGCTCATGCGCCGCACATTAAATACACCTTTTTGTTTATTAAAAAAAAAAAGAAAAAAAGGTGTTGGTTTTTTTTTTTATGGGACTGGGTGGGGACCTTTTTGTCAAGTCTGAGCCTCACCAGCTGGTTTCAAAAGCCATTTTCAAACGAAAGGTGCAGCGAAAAATTGCTCCCATTGTCAGAAGGCTGTTGTTTTGTCGAACAGTCAAAATGTTTGCGTTCGTTGTGCTGTTGGGACTGGACCACAAGTCGGCATATACAGCTTTTTAAGAAATACTCAACCCCAGGGGCAAGGGAATGTTTTCCAGACACACTCTCTGTGTTTGAGGCTAGTCTCTTCCCGACATTCCTGACAACTTTCGCCGAGCGGGCTGTGGTTCTGCTAGCTGCTGCCTACGTAGGTGCAGTTTTGGACACTGCTGGCAGTGAAACTATCACTTTTTTTCTTTACTTTTACGTTTCATGGTATATATTTTTTCTCGAGGGCATTGAGAGAGCACTGCACCATCTTTGGAAGTAAAAACAAACAACTCTGAATTATTTTTGTCAAATATGTGCGCGGTAGAAAAAATGCAACTAGAACATTTGTTACATTAAATTTTCAGACCGCCACGCACTAAGTTTTTCATCGTCGAAAATAATTGACAACATAGAATAGTCGAAAGGCATGGGTATTCGTCACACACAAATTACGTATTTACTGCCTCACACAGAAAATACTGTAAGTCTCGGCATTCAAATAATATACTGTGCATACCACACGATGCCGCATCATCCGGACAAAGTTTATTTGAAAAAAAATCTCAAATAACTGAGCACATCCAGTCAACTGTATTGACGTAATTCACTTCGCAGCGATCGGACGGAATTCAAAAATAACTTGCTGCGGGCACACTTGGAGAGAGCTTGCTTTTTGCGCAGCAGCAAAGCAAAGGAATCAACACGAGTGATCTGGCTCCCTACCTTAAGCCGATGAGCTATTTTAGGGAAAAGCCAAGGAATCTCCGGGGGTTATTTCGATGGAAAACAGTTCTCATCGTTTGCAACGTCGTGGGCTGTTCGACGTTGTTATTTCTGTTTCCCCGGAATGTCAAGCAGGAATGCCCAAGTAGCAAGCACTCGGGCTATGAGCACTGGTTCTCACAAGGAAGATGACGCAAAAAAAGTACTTAGCACAAATAAAAAAAAAAGAAAAAGGAAGTGACAATTTTTAAGAAAGCTTGGAATGCACAACACAGGTGGAGAGCTGCGCTGAGCGGGTGTCAGCGGCCCAAGAAGGTGGCCAGGCCCTTTCTAGCCACTAGCGGTCGCAGGAGTCGCTTTACTTGCATCATCGTTGGCAACGTGGCGGTAGCCTAGGAGCTTTTTTTTTCGAAAAGGTATATTTCAATCTTGAAGGAACCATAAAGGCAATTCGGACATTTTCTTTAGCAATTAAAAAGGGCATGAGGTATGTCTCGGACACTGTGGTACAAACGTGAACTAAAGGGCACTGGGTGAAGTCAAAGCACGATGACAACAAACTCCTCATCGGGCGATTGGTTTAAGCGAATGCTGCACTTTGGGTGTTGCGGCAGCATCGGAGAGCTCGCATCCCACCACCAAAAAGTCGGTGGCAAGTCTGGGGCACCCTCGTAAAGCGCCGGTCCAGAGTTTCGCTTCCCGAATGGCATCTCTCGTTCTGTTGGCATGAGGTCGCCGAACGTGAGTTTAAACCCGTCTGCGACCGCGGCGTTGTCGTTCATTTCGTCCACTTGACAACAACTAATGTGGCCGCTTCTTCGCGGACCGCCGTGCACTGTTGGCGACGAGATGTTTTGGTAGCGCCACCTCGCGGGCGCCCTCCTGTGACGGAGCTGGTGGGATGCGAGCAGACGACGCACTGTGTCAAAGCACGGAGTGGCTATGTTAGTTCGCACCTATGCCGATTAAAAATGAATTTCTTAAAAAAATGCGTATGAAGTTTTTGAGAGTGATCTTTCTAACAAATAACAGTGCCTCCCAGTTGCTTTTTATGTTAAAAAAGCTTTAAAATTCTTGTCTTTTTTGGGGGGGGGAGGGGAGGGATCTGTGGAGGCTGCTGTAGAAAAACGTTTTTCATTCGCCTGAGTAAATGGTGTGCTGTCATTGGTGTGCACGTGTGCACAGTTGTGTTGCAGAGCTCCGCACACTTGGTTTAGCTGCATCGAGCTTGACGATACCGGCGTTTCTACCCAAGTGTGACTTGACAGTTGCTGAAGAGCAAATGCTCGTCAGCAACTGACGCTTTGCTCTTCCTGCATTGGATGTGTGGCAAAAAAGTTTGTCTTACCGCGACACTTGCTGGAAAGAAAAGCAGAAAATTTCATAACTTCTTATATTGTCTGACATGGCCTGGCAAATTCAGGCGATTGATTAAATTGCTCTATCCAATTTTTACTATAAATCGTTTACAAATTTAAAATGGCTCGCTGAGAAGTGCATTACACATTTTGTGCATTTGGGTTAGCAAAATTAAACATACAAACGGTAGTAATTGATAGCAGGCGTATACCTAATTTTTTGGGACGCTGAAGTGTCACCGACTTACTAGGTTTAAGACTTTGATCGCAAGGGGGTCTCACGCGTTTCATACTGACCAGGTGAACAAGCAGATATTTCATTGAAACGACTCAGGAAGCCAGCCACCGCTTCTTCCTGCCAGTTATTTTGAGGAAATGTTTGTTTACTGGTTTACAAAATTCAAGAAAAGGAATCAACTTGGAACTAATAAGCGACCAGCATTCGCAGAACACATTGAATATGTATACACAAAGTCGCCTTCACTTGAGTGTTTACTACATACACGAGACAATCTCGAATTTGGATTTCCTATTTTAAATTTGATGAGATGTTCCTTTCTCAGTTTTATTTTGTCCAAATCATAATAAAAAAATACACCCTATTCATTGTGGCAGACGTAGTGGAGCGCTGGATATTCTATATGTAGGGTTCCGCGTTTTCTGTTTCTATTTTTTCCAAGTTCGGCATACTTTTTTCGGTGTTTATTTTAAAATTCAATTTTCGGTTTTTTTCGGCATATATTTATGCCCACAAAAGTTTATCAGCTTTTTTCGGTGAATATAAAATAAACACCAACGGACACCGGATCAGATGATCCTTGTAGCTTTGATATTTGTGATCGCTCAAAGAATAACGACACAAATACATTGAAAAAGAAAAAGACCGAACCTAAAACACAGAAGTACAATCAAGTCAGATAGGAAGCCTATGCCCAAAAAACATGGAACTTCACCTTCTGTACATCAGGATTACTTGATCTCATTATAGTTCAGACACATGTACTTTCCCAAGTTTTCTTCGTTGATCCGCACTCTTCCTTTCCTGTTAATATGATCCTGAGCTTTGAGAATGCCCTCTCAATGCTAACACTGGACACTGACTGGCTGAGGAGATGAAGCGCTGCCTGAGCCAAAATCGGCGAATCAACCAATTGTGACCGCCAAAAGAGACACAATGCAACGTTTTGAAGCACAACACAACATGCAGAGCTTGCATCAAGTCAGTCTTCCTTACAACCAGTTTGAAAACACACTCGTACATGGCGAAGTCATGGGGTATTTCAGACTTCACGTTCCGATCGATGATACGCACATTAAACCAAAACGTCGTGATGGCATCCATGTATCCCATACATTCAGACACGTTTCGATAGACGCTGTCGTTCCACTTTTTCGCCACGGCTCTGCGGTACGACTGGAAGGTCAAAGTGACCTCTTTTGGTTAAAACTGAATTTTAGAAAATGGGTTCGACATACTTTTATCGGTTTTTATTGGTTTAAATCGAAAATGCCAAACCTAAAACTGACTTGTTTTTGGTTAAAACCGAATTTCCGAAAATGAATTTGGCGTACTTTTATCGGCTTTTATCGGTTTAAACCGAACACTCCGAACCCTATCTATATGCAATATCCAGTATTTTGTGCTGGGGTGAGGACAGCACACCACCATCCCAGCACTTCGACACCTCAGCGCCAAAAGTGTTTGTTAGCATGACTACGGATGCCACGTTTTCAAACTTTGGTAAAATGTCCTACTACAAATATCACTTCACCAAGTAAACACAATGCGTGAAACAGGTTTTGCCGCACGTTACCCAAACAGCACGTGAAGCGAGCTGACAAGCTGAGCGATCCAAGATCTGAGCGGTTTGTCTCTGACTGTCCTATTTATGACGTCACAAAAGATGATGATGATAGCTAGAGGAGTGCCCCCTGTAATTCGCACACGCTGCCAATACCCATCCGCTGGAACGGCACTGAGCGTCCGCTAAATCCTACCGAAAAATAACAGTGCTCTTCGACGTTACTTTTGAACGTTTCTTTCGATTTAGCAAACTTATTTACAAGCACGAAAATGAAAGTCACAGAATTCTACAAAAAAATTAGTTGCATGCTAGGACCCCGATGCGTATGAAAACACATTCTTTTAAGAGATGTTGTAATTGCTTTCATAGTCCCTTTAACCTACCAATTGCCCGTGGCTAGAAGGTACAAGCTACTTCCCAGTACAAGGTACACAGCCACCATATTCATCCATCCATTCATGCTTTTCCAGATCGTCAGTCTCGGGGGCTTCTCGGAAGAAGCGAGCCAACGAAACAAAGATGGCTGTGCCGCCTTCGATCCTGAAGAAGAGGGGCAGCAATGCCACGAGCCACGCGGAGTCGGCTAAGGTCGGATTTCGACTTCCCTCGGCCGACGAGGTGGACGTGGAAAAGGCACTCTTAGAGGGGTCCAAGTGCAGCTCAATGGACGGCTCGTACAGGAACCTGCTCAGCGTCCTCAAGTCGGAAGACACCGACGTAAGCGGGGTTTCTATAAGTTGGGAAGGGGGGTGAGCCGAAGTTATAGTGCCCCATCAAAACTCAACTCGCGGATCTGTTCACTTGCCTCAGAGCCTAATATCGAGAGAGTTTGGTCAATGGTAGGAGCCGGCGGAAAGTGGGAGTGCAGCGGCGAAAGTGTCGCCGCCGGCAGCGCTGCATGTTTCCCCTGTGACAATCCTGCGAAGTAAAATAAAGCCGAGATGACCTTGAAGGAGCCGCACATTGCAGCGCAGGTATATTTTGTTGCTGGATGAGGCTGAGAGTACATAATTGGATGATATTAAGACATTGTTGGAAATAGGGAATATCAAGGTGCTGTGTGTGTTTACTGAGCCAGAAAAGGTGACATAAACGAGAAAATATTCTGAAACATGAGGGGAAACTGCGAACATAAGGTGCGCGTTCAGGGTTAGGGCCGAAATTCCCACGGAACCATGGCCACGGTTTCAATCGTCCACTCGATTGTTGCCACGGCTGCGACTGCAATCAAAAAAGAGATGGAGTGCATTCGGAATGTCGCTGTGACGCTAATGTCGCGTGCGTTGCCCTTCCAGTTACGAAGAGTCGCAAACTTTGACTCTAGCATGTTGAAATGAAATGCTTGAATTCATTCTTACCTAGATATTGTGATTGGAGGGTATTTGTTAAGCTCATTGCCTCCGCTAGGGGAATATTTGTGACTAGTGGTTGGTCACAAGAGCTGCCAATCATCACGCCCAACGTCATTGAAACAATTTCGGCCAATGACGTGCCCTTAATTTCACCCTATTCTTACCAATTAATGACCAAACTATCTACATATACGGCTCTGACTTGCCTCACTCTTCATCACCCTTGGACGTGAGGTTAGGGTGAGTTCGTCAACCTCGAAAGTTTGTGAGTTTGAGGTGTAATCAGGAGCATGAGATCAGTGAGGAGCGCGAGTTCGGTGAGTGCATGAGTTCAGTGAGAACCCAAGTTTGACGGGTTTGGCGAGTTCACGAGTGAGGGATTGAACACAAGTGCTTATTGTGAGGGGAAATGAGTTTCAAGTTTGTTTCTGGTCGCATGTTTGAGGGCGAGGAAATGACTATTCTGTTATGACCTTGGCGTAAGTGAGTGAGTTCAATCTTGTGATGCCGATCTCTGACTGAAGTAGAGGCATTTGTGCGCGTAGATCCCCAGACTAGTGCACTGTTGTGTTCTGTTTTTGGCAGCCAATTGGTTGAATGTGGCAATGGAGAGCATTTTCCAGACTTGCAGTCGGTTTGGCAGGCTTGTGATCTCCGCTTTGGTTTTCTCTCCGAGTGAAGTGGAGCGTTGGCTTGAAGGGGCACCTAACTCCCACAGTTTACTTTTTTTTTCGGACGTTGAGTTAGGCCTAAAGCACGAAATGCCTTCATTAAAGACGTCGCATAAGTATTTCCAATTCTAAAGCGTGCTATGTCTTTGTGCAAAAACAAAACAAAAAGCATTATTTGAGCCACAAGAATTTTCGCGAGCGGTAGAGCCCCTGTAGATTCTGTTTGGGTACAAGGTCTTGGCAGGCGTAAATACTTCAGTCTGTGTTTTGCTAATTGAAGGTGCTGCCGTGGCTTGGCATTTCTTGTCGCGAGGAGGGGAAGGCAGAGGAATTACTTTATATGTCTAAATAGGCTTCTTGAGTCCCGATTCTTGCCTGCCTTAATTTCTGCGTAGGTACAGAAGGCATGGGGTTCATTCGGCCACTTTCTTTAGTCTGGAATTGTTTCATCACGCCATGGGAAAGTTTCCCCTAGGAGCAAATTGGAACACCAGAGGCGCGCTGCCGACAACAGGAGTCGGGCAATCAGATCGCTCAAAGAACCTAACGGATGGACGTAGGTTTGGAGGAGCCACCGCGGAGAAAGTTGCCGGGTGTGTCTAGTCTTCTGTAGAACCCCCCGAACCCGTCGGAAACACAGTCCATACTTGACACTTGGGGGGCACATTATTTCGTAATAACGAAATGCTTCGTAAAAAGTGCTATATATTATTGAAAAACTATTATCCAAATTTGAACTGAATATCAGGGTGCGAATAAACTGGCAAATATTAAGTGTGACAAAAACCCCACTTGCATTATCGCCACTTGCGAGGAAATCTACTCGAAGTTTCCAGAACAGTTGGTACTTTATCTAAGGAGCGTAACTGAGCTAAGGGAAGAGACTTGACGGAAAAAATTATCAGTGCAAAGGACAAGGGCCAGTAGAAGTAGAAGACAGGCCAAGTGCTGGCTGGCTGGCATACAAACAAACTGAGGCACTTGACTGTTTCTTTAGTGGGGCAAAAAGTGTGCCAACCTTTTTACTCGTTGACTTTTGCAATGCGAAGGATGCAGCCCTGGCGAGGCTTCTGCGAAGGATCAAGAACCATGCGCAGCTCATCGAGAGGCACAGCGACCAGGTGGCAGAAACCTTGCTCGTGAGTGTCCTTGCACATTCTTTTCGTCATGAGGGCCACATCGCCTTGGCCCGGAAGGTCCGCTGCCACTGCTTTTGCCCAGGCAGCGCGACCTGTGATGTCGGGGCGAGGCAAATCCCGGTAGTGAAGTTACGTAGGGGAACTGTAAGAGAGTGCTGCAAAAACCTCTCGGCACCATTACAGTCTAAGCTGTTATAACAGACGATTTTGACCAAGATTTCGGTCTGTTGTAAAAGGAGTATGTTGTATGCAGATATTAAGTTAGTCAATAGTGCATAGAGGAAAACCAACCAAACTTCACAAATCAGTATGTTATATCCAAATGTCTGTTGTAACCAGGTCTTTTGTAATGAACTTAGACTGTGTACTGTTCGCCCCTAAACTGACGGCGCGGTGGGAGCTACCAATCGCGGTACCGGTTGGCCGCCTTCCTTTCGTCGCCCAACACCGCTCTCTACGTGTGGGTGCGGGAGGGAGCGCGATTGCGTGGTGGAAGATGCACGTTTGACCGGCCCGGCCAACGAGCACACTGCTTCCGCCACATTGTCGGCTTAGGGTTAAACAGAGCACAGATCGCGTGCATACATATTTTTATATTCTTTTTTTTTACTCTTCCCTTGTGATTGTAGGCTTGAAATAATTCTGACAATGTAAGTGTCCATCTATTTTATGAATAGTGCGAAGATTTGGTTTTGCAAGAAGCACAAAACGTTTGGCCTCGCAAGTAGCACAAAACCTTTGGTCTAGTCATACGGTGGTCAGACGTGTTGCAGGGCTGCACGATCGATGTTGCCAGTGTGCCAGTTTGTTTCCTTTTCTTAAAGGGTTACAAGCAGTTGCAAAGCAGTCACTTGAAGCTGGTTCATTCGAAACACTTGCGATTTTGCGTATGTCTTCTCATTTTTTTGGGGCTCTTACCACGGCTCGAAGAACTTTTGACTGCTTTACGAATGACCATTTTTCGTAGACAATACATACATTTGATCTTGCAAATACTGAAAAACCATAACTCTGGTTAAATGACTCTCGGGGCATAGACGACGTTAGTGTATTCTCCTGTAAGTGTTTACAACGAAGGACGATGCTACACAACGCACTCGGTTGCCACAAAATGCAAGTGCGTGAGCCAGGTTTTAAACGCAAACATGCGAGCCACCCTCGAATCGGCAACGGGCCGGCTCTCTCGTGCCTCAAGGCGGTCCGGTGCCTTGTCTTCCACAGAAACTGAAGGTGCTGCGCAGGGGTGCAGACGTGATGGAGATGTTTGCCAAGCTCGTCTGCGACCTCGTCTGCCTGCACCCGTTCTTCTTGCACCACGTCATCACGGCAGTCCTCGGCATCTTCATGTCCCCAGGTGAGGCCTCTGGGGGCTGGCACGGCGAGGTGGCGGGCAACGAGCGCCCGACACGATCGGTTTGGCCATATTCTCGAATAGACCTTTCCGGAAAATCCCGCGAGGCCTCTTACCAACCCCACATTGCACTGCACGGTGCGGGGAATTGTGAGGCCATCTTGACGTACGCTCAGGCCGGCTTGTATGCTTGGTACACCCTCCGAGTTACTGAGTTTTTTCTCTCTTACCACTGCGAGTTCGGAACACTGAGGAAACAAAGCGTACGCATCACATAGCCGATGCATACCGTTTTGTTATCGTTCTGCTTTCTTTGCCTTTGGAAATCTCGAAATACTAAACAAACATTAACCGCTCCTTCTATTTATGAGCGCTCCTTCACGTACTGTATATTGGATTAGCATAGTGCATCAGAAAGACGATGGGAGGCTGTGCTAATTTCTGGAATGGTCTATTCATTGCACCCAACTGCTTCGTTAAAAATAGGCGATCGCTCAGGATAGGGTGCCTTCATGTGCGCTTTGCTTTTGGGGTGATGACATCTGACCATTTTGTTCCAGATGCTTATTTTTATTTTTTGCTCTCAAGCGCTTGAAAGAGCATGTCCCCGCACGCACTTGTGGCGCGGACTATTCTATGATGACATTTTGTGTTCTGCAATTTTTTTGTATTTTCTCTATGAGATGTGCTGTCGGCTACAAAGCATGGCATCACCCTAAACAGGAGGACATTGAGGCAGCTTAACTTGGGACAGCTTAAGCATGGTTCAGCCTGATAGCCAGGCTTGGGACAACATACATTAGTGGTGGGTCGGTTTTTACCGGGCCTACATCTGGCCTGGGTCTGGTGTGCCGATGAAAATTTGTCTACGTGAACAACTTGGTGAAGGTTATCTTTAAAAGCCTATTTGTGCTGCCTTGTACCGCCTCTTAAGCAAGACAATCTTTCATTGGTACCATGTCGGGCCTTGTCCAGCCTAGATCAGATCTGGGTCAGGCAAGTGTTTTTAAAGTCTGCTGTGTCAAAAACGTCACGAAATAGTTCTCCAAGGCCCTATTTTTAAACAGGTTGTCTATCAAATCATTCCTGTTTTTCCCTGCCTAATGTCAGGTCTGCATGCCAGTTTGGTGGTCACACCAGGACCACCTAGAAAATGGGGCCTTTCCTCCCCCGACATGCTTGCTAGAGACAGTTCAGGTGGGGTTCTGTGTTTTCGGATAAATCCAATAAAATCCGAAAAACACTCGCCAGTAAATATTTCTTTGATTCAGATTTATCGAAAAAACTCCAAATTCCGAGGTCACAACTACAAAAAACAAAAAGCAAGAAAGACGGTGTTTTGCAAATAAGCTTTATAAGAGCACAGGGTCAGTGGTCCTGAGGAGGTGCCACTTCAGTTTCCTTTGAAATCTAGAACTACTGACAAAGGGGTTTGCCTTGAAGCACGTCGAGGTTTCCTCAGCACAATGGGTCATGACACCTAATGTTTTTGAGTTTTGTTTTTGAATTTTGAAAATGTAAGAACCCTGTAAAATAAACTCAGAATTTCAGACAGTTGGGAATCTAACAAAAATAAACTCTGATAAATCCTGATAAAGAGCATTTCTTCTCAGTTTCAGTACATTGAACATCTTTGTTCGGGAGTAAATACTATTTGGGCAAAAACACCATAGAAGTCCAACTTTATCGTGAAAGAGGCTATGCATATGGCCAAGAATCGAAAAGCCCTCCCTGATTGAACAGAAAACTAACTAAAACCAACATTTGTTTGTAGAAAGTCATGTGCGATTGTCTGCTTTTGTATTTTGACGATGCTTGCTGATGCTGGTTTGTGTATTGCAAGCATGTCCCAATTCGTCACTCGTTTCATTATCAATGTCCACATGTCGACAACAAAATGACACTCAAAGAAAGCGTTTTAAGCTCGGGCTTACACAGCAAGGTCATGCAGGAGACCGGGTGTAAGCAGAAGGGGCACCGCCTGTGCTCTTGGTGCCTTTTAGTTGCCACCACCACGAATAAAATAAAATGTAGTGGTGTGGAAACTTCAAATAGGTTTCTCTCAGTTTCACTTTTTTGCAGTAGCTTTTGTTTTAGGAAATGTGTTATTTCAAGGAATTACAGAATTTATTCTTTGCTGTTGATGTTTCTGAACTGAAATTTAATGAGGAATGAGGCTAAACATTTATTTTTCTATTTATTTAGATGATGTTCTTATTGCCAAAAAGTATGGTTTTGATGAAAACAAAATGCCCCATTATGTGGAATGCCTTTCAAATTGTCATTTTGCATAGAAAAAGTGCTGCTTCCAGGGTAAACGATAGGCGCACCCCCTGTTCAATATTTTGCAGCAATTTTATACGACAGATTTCTTTGCCAAGTGAAGCAACTTACATCAGTAGCTGTATACCTCCCCCTGTAGCTTATCCGAAAATTGTCCAACGGAGATGAAACATCATACAGTGCATTTAGGCAACGAGATGAATAGAGCCTTTAAAATATGTCAATATTGGGCGACTGGTTTAAAAGTCCACAGTTGAAGGTGGTGTCAACCGTGAACCTATGACTGACTGTGGTAGGTCCAAGCAGTGTGCCTGGCCAGTGTCCAGGTCAGCGCGAGTGCAATGCCATTACACCGCGATGCCAAGACGGGAGTGTTGGCCGTTTTTACGCATTCTTTTGTCATGCGTCGGCGAGCTAGCTGCCGAGGCGGGTCGGAGATACACTGACAATGACATTGTGCTCAGGCCTCGCCTTCTGGACGCCATGCCGAGAGCAAGTCGTCTGCTTCTTACGCAGGAGTTTCAGTGCAGTCAGAATGATGCCGAGCTTCGATTGGCTTTGATTGAAAGGATAGTGGGAAGACCTCAATGCTAGATGCCTCGAGGTCTTCCCACTATTTTTTTTATCATCCCATACGAGCTCGGCATTCTGACATCGTCACAAACCTCGGGCAAGATGTAGATGAACTTGCGCTTTGCATCGGCTGCCCCCACGTAAAACGATTTTACTAGCAGTCGTCTTTCGCGTATTAAAGAATAGTTCTTGTCGCTGTGCACACTGAGAGTATTCTCGCTTTTCCAACGTTAGTTTACGATGGTGGCATTTTTGAGAAACAAGCGTTTTTTCCCTGCACACCGTAAAATGCCGAGCATCTGCCCGTTCAACAATAAGCTTTCATCCCCCAGTTTTGCTCGATTATCTCTAAATTTTGAGTGGGCGCTCGCTCGGGATTTTACGGTAAATTTTTTTCGGTTGGTGGCACTTCGGGGAGCTACTGGGGTTTGCATGGCGAAACCTCTGAATGTGCGCAGACGCAGTGTCGGACGAGATACCGGCGTCGCAACGTCGGGAGCGGTTCGACCAGCTTCACGGCATCTTCCGCGAGATCTTCCGCCTTGTGCCAACGTGAGGATCTTTTTGTTTTATTTTGTGTCTTGCCGATCGTTGCTTGTGATTTTTCTCTAGTGAGCTTCTAGCTTTGGAGGGGATATAATGTATGGGCTCAGTGAGAAGAGGCTAGAGTCACTGAATGTTCCCGGAGGCCTATTACATCATACTTTGTAAAACCAATTTTTACAGCGATGCCTGTCATGGGGCTCTTCGCATCACTGGAAATGATGTTCGTTGTTGATGATGTGGTTCTTGTCATTGATGTTATAGTTGGCATAGTAGGGCGTAGGGTGTCCGGTGTTGATGTTGCGAAATCCCGAAGGAAAAAGCGCCCGCCGTTCGCGGGAATCGAACCTGGGTCCTCTGCATGCGAAGTGGAGACATTACCACAGAACTGTGCCACTGCACTAACAACCCGGTTTATACTTAGGGTTTTTGTAGTACCCAATACCCACTGCACACATGCGCAGACTCTCTGAAAGAATACAAATAAATAGCCAACAACAATATACCATTGTAGTGCTGTCAATGCCGAGAGCTCGTGTCGAGAGACGCGCTTTCAGGTGCTTCAGGACAAACAGGAAACAAAAGCGTTTGGAACAAGATGGTCAGGTGTCTATTTTGCTCCAAACGTTTTTGTTCATGCACCGTACTTTGCGTGAACGTGACGCCAGTGCCCAACAACTTCGCCGCGACGTGTTGCAGCTATTGCTGTGACCGTGCTCTGGTTAACTCAGGACTGCTAAATTTTTCACTGTATTTTGAGCGGTTTCGATCCATTGTGTAGATCTTCACAAACTTGGTTCGTGGACTGGGAGCCGAAGCGTGTGCCTTTCTCGCCGCCGCAGGGCCCCCTTGAGTCTGGTGTCGGTGGCGGCAGACACGTTCCCCTACCTGAATCGGGCCGGCGTGCAGCAGGCATGCCTCGTCAGGCAGCTGCTCGTCGTGGCATCGTACATCCCGGACCAGCGCCCGGAGCTCCTGCAGCTCCTCGCCTACAAGGCCCTCCAGATAGACGTAAGTTGATCCCGCAGCGACTTGGTAAGCTACGCGTCGGAGTATCAGCCAGTGTGGGCAAAGCGACACCACCTAGGGGACAAGGCAAGCGCCACTCCCCTATCCAAACATCGTCGCTAGTAACAGAGCCGTATTTGGAGAGTTTGGTCAATGAGAGGAGCCAGTGGAAGACGGGGTGGAGCGGTGGAGCTAGCGCCGCACATTCCTCCTGTGAGGATACTGGGAAGTAAAAATATCTGAGATATCCACCGCAAGTGTTTTTTGTTTCTAGATGAGCTTGAAAGTATAGGAATAGATAACTGAAAGCGTTTGATGGAAGTAAGGCGTCTTCAATGTGCCGAGTGCGCTTACTGAGCTGGAAGAGGCGAGGGAAGCTTCCTGAAAGACGAGGTGAAACTGTGAACTTGGGATGCGCGTTCGGGGTTGGGTCAAAACTCCTACCGAGTCACATCCGTGGTACTTACTGTCCGCTTCGCTGCAGTCACTGCCGCGACTGCGGCTGCAATTGGAAGAAATATTGAGCACATTCTGACAGTCACTGTGACGACGTCACGTGCGTCACCCTTTCAGTTATGGAGAGTCGCAAATTTCAACTGTAGCGTGCTGAAATGAAATACTTCAATACATCCTTACCTAGAAATTGCGATTGAAGGGTACTTGTTAGGCTCATTGCCTCTGCTAGGTTCATATTTATGGCTAGTGGTTGGTCACAAGTGCAAGTCAATCATTGCACACAAGGTCATGGGAGCAATTTCTGTCAATGACGTGCTCTTATTTTCGCCCTATTCTTACCGACTAATGACGGAAGTCTACACGTACGGCTCTGGTTAGTGGACCCACGCAGCGCCGCCTAGCTTGCGTCATCATCGCCATCACCATGCCTCGCGGCGTCCCGCAGTGAGCGCGACGCTGGCACGCGGCGGATCAAATAATCAAGGCGGACGTGTTTGCCGCTTCGCGGTGTCTCTCGTTGACCTTCGGCGCGGTTGCCACTTGGGTCGGGGTGGAGATTCCAGTAACGGCGACGTTGCATGCAGGTGGTATTAGGTGAAGACGGGAGCAGAGCGCGGCAAAGTGCAAGCGCTGTCGTAGGCGGTCTTGAGAGAAAGAACAAGAAAGAGGGCAACGGGAAAGCGGAGGAAGAAAGCAGACGGCGGGTTAGGCACGTTCGTTTTGCCGCGACGAGGTAAAATGGCTCAAGAGCTCGTCGACTTTATTTTTTAACTATGAAGCGCGGGACGCCGGATGTTTTTGTGTGAATTAAAGCTATGGAAAACTAGACGCATACCTCGGAAGGGATGTTTCCCTCGTCCTTTGCGCATGTCAATGCATTGTCGACAATAAGGGCCCCTCTGGACAACCACTGTTGATGGCTATGCCCGGCCGTGGCAAAGCAGCCAAAAGGCGTGGCGCCTTTCCCTCTAGAATATTGCATTAAAGGGGCACTAAAGAGGATTCTGCGATCATCTGTTCTTGGTTATAACTGATTTTACGGCCCCTGAACATCCTAAAAATCCAAAAATTACAATCGCACCACGCTGATTTCTTTGTTAAAAATGTGATGAAACGTTGGGACGCACCACTTTTTGAGCCAATTTATCTGCTCAGGACGGGCGGGGCACACCCGGGCAGCGGTGTCAGCGCGGTGACGATGGGCGCTCGTTGGCCAATCGATTGAGAGGCGACTTGCAATTGGCCAACAAGCGCCCATCGTCACCGCACTGACAGCGCTGTTGGGGTATGTCCTGCCTTTCCCGAGCAGAAAACGCAACAAGACAACTCGTGCGCGACTGAAAAGTTGTGCACGAGTCATCAGAAGAGGATAACGATTGTTACTGTTATTCTTGTCCAGCTTGCTTGCACATTTGCTTGAACAACATTATCATTGTGTAGTCATTTCGGAGAGTGGAGAAGAGCACACTGTTAAAAAAATTTCCTCGCTAAATTTAGCGGAGAAACTGGCACCACGCGACTCAATGTCACGTGGCATCATGGCATTCCGCGACGGCTCTGTGACCTCGATTTCCTTGCTAAATTTGGTTGGGAAGTTGACGGCACTAGACGTCATGACCTGATGAGTCGTGACTGCGTCGAGTGATGTCGTGTGATATCGTGAATGGGGGATTTCGTCGAAAGGCATTCCGTGATTTAGAAAACGTATGCACCTGGTTATTGTTGCTGCGAGCTGATGCGAGCGAGCCTTTTATATTTTCTTTTTGCGTCGTCTTGTCTGAACGAACAGTTGCACTGCCCCAAGGACGACATCCAAGAGGCAGAGGAGGAGGACGACGAAGAGGACGACATGGAGACGGACGTCTTTGCCATGGTACGTCGACAACCTTTGCTCGGCGTTGCAGCCTGTCTTCTGAGCACCATATTATCCGAGCTCTAACCTGCACTTGGTATATAACCTGCAAAAGCAAATTAAAAAAAAAAAAGAAAAGAAAAATAAAAGTTTTTTTTTTACAGTTTGCATAGTCTGCACTTAACAAAATTTTCCATAGCACACTAAAAAAAGTGCTCGTTTTATTATCACACAAATAAGTTTGTAGCATACAGAAATCATCATTGCCATAATCTGTCATTCACAAAATTTGTCTCGTCATAATGAATAACCTTGAAAAGTATGAATTCCTGTTTTTTTCCGCACCTGAAAATAGGCCGCACAGCATAAAACTTCAACTTTGAAACTTTGTGTTCTGCAGGCTATGGCGCGGTGAATAAGGTGACTCTCTTGGCCTTTCGTTTCTTGCGTGCGGGATTCTGTTTCGTCGATTTGCCACGTTTTTGCGGTGCGCGACGCTTGCAGCCGCATAGCGTGTGCCCTCGAGGATGTGAGGGTTCTGGGAAAGTTGCGCCGGTACATTTCACGCACCAATGTATTATGCAGTACTAAAACAAACAGTTGGCCTAGTTCTGTGTACCCGCTGTCATAAAAAACAGAACGAATATAATCACAGAGGAGAGGAAACAGTGCCTTGTCCTGCGCGTTCTGCTGTCTATGTCCTTGCATTTTCACGCTATTTTTATGCAGTTTCGAAAAAACCTAATTATGAGAATTTGCGTATGAATTTTTTTTGTCTTGGAGGGAGGTGTAATTTGTCCTTAATTCTGATCTAGCTGTTTCGTCGGCTAAATAAGTTGGGAGAGATCGGTAACCGTGCGTGCTAACGCGCCTCAGCTCAGAGCACGTGGACCGGAAGCTCACACGCAGAGCCCAGGGCTTGGTCCTCACCACCGTTCATTATGATCAGGATGAGCATTGTACCGGCACGTGTTCATGTAATTTCTACTCCCTCTTGCACATTAAAGGCCCCGGACTAGCGGTGGTACTACACTGTCCTAATTTCTCATATGCAGCGGAGACTCCAGACACCCATTGGGGCCGACTAATTTTCCGCTCTCTGAGCAGAAATGCAATGCAATTACTTTTGAACGAAGAAAGCACAGAAGCACTTTAAAATTTGTGGTCGATATCGGCATGTTTTTGGGGCAATTCAAAACACAGTTGTTTTTTTTTACTGGAAGTGTCGTACACAAGGTTCTTAATTGACAGAACCAGGGAGTTAAAAACAGATTGCATTGGAATTGCAGACGGTGTTCCGCGAGAGAAAGGGACATTGCAACTACCTGATGTGCAGCAAATTTCCTGCCTTTCATGAAAGCATGTGTACAGTTGAACCTCGATTTAGCGAAGTCACCGGGACCCAATAATTATTTCGTTAAATCGGGAATTTCGTAAAGTCGAGAAAGACATTCTTCGGGATAGGCTGCGCGGGGAATCCGAATTTGTTCGTTAAATCGGGAAACTCGTAAAATCGGGTTTCGTTAAATTGAGGTTCAACTGTATATTGAATCGACATCCACTGGCAGCAAAAGTATGAAGTCGGCTTTGCGCCCCGCGAGAGTTCAATGTTTCGCAGTCTGCTGCGGCGGTTGCAGCATGACCTGCATGCTTTTCTGGCTGCTGGTACAGACGATTGAGATACTGAAGATAAAGTGAAACATATTTTAATGGAAGCCAAGTTTGAATGTGCGTTGCACCGTCGTCACCTAGTTGTATCACGCCGATGAAAGCGACGCGGAAGTGACGTTATCAGATAAATTCGGCGGGTTAATGCCCCGTCAAAGTTTAGCAAGACGCCACTGTTGACCACACGGTCACATGGCTGACACAACTGTAGGACACGTGGTAACGTGACCAGGTGACGCGCGGCAGGCCACGCCAGTTCACAGCATTGCGTGGCGCGACGTGAGGTCGTGTGTTGTTGTGCGACTCGTGAAAAGTCAGAGTGTCGACAAGCTCATTAGATCTCAGTAACATTGGGTGTCAAGCTGCAATGTCATGTAACCAGGTTGCGTGACACCACGGCGTCATGTGACTTCATGTTGTCGTGCTGCACAGATGTGCGTACTAGTGCCACTAAATAAGCTACGCTTCAGAGTAACGTCACTTGGCCATATTGTGTCTTAAAATCATGGTTGCCAGTTATCTGAAGCTTTATCTGAAATCACAGGAATCGCTTTTCCGCCCTCCACAAATGTTCAAACAGTTCGCGGCAGAGCAAAGCAATGTTACATAACCTTTCTAACACCGAACCGAATGCCGAGGAAGTCGCACTTTTGAATCATGACGATCGGCAGTTGCGTCTGCTCTGCATACGAGCCAAAATGGCGGCGCCCACAACATTGTCGGGGAACGGAGTGCCGATACTCTGAGCGTAGCTCATTTAGTGGCTCTAGTGCGTACGTATCAATAGTGCGTCATGCATACGGGATGTTTGCGCGGCAGTTCGAAGGAGTGCCTTATTGTTTTGGTAAATTTGTTTTACGATGGTTTCCGCCGGGTCCCGGAAAGTATACCGTTATATCTTAGCATTTTGTGCGTGCGCATTGTGATTTTCGTAGGACCAGGACGCCAAGTCGAAGCCGAATGTAGAGCGCTGTCCGGACGAGATGAAGCACAAGCTTGCCGACACCTTGGACCGGGTGCTGGAGCAGTTTTATCTCTACATCAGAGAGCAGTGCTGCGTAAACGGTAAGACCACCTGTTTCGGCTTATTAGAGTTAGCCTTTTAAAAAGATCCTGCCTCCTTTTCTTTAAAATTTTATTGAGCCTCTTAAAGAAGAAAAAAAAGGAAAAATAAAACCTTTTTAAATGACTCATATCATTGTCACAAAAATAATGCGTACCAACCAAGGTTTTATCACAACCAATGTGCTTTAACTCCACTTGCTTGCACAAGGATTTACAGCAAACCTCAGAGTGATTATTTCACGATTATGTGCCGTGAAGCCTTAAATCTAAAAACTACTTTTGTATGACCTGTCGATCCAACTTTTTTCCTTTTGTGTATTGATGTCGCTATGTCATTACTTTTTTTGGCAACGTGCCTTTTCATTAATGAACAAGTGCCCTTTTTCTTAGTTAAAGCAGATATGTATGATTACCTAAAAGTAGTTTTTTGTCCTGATAGAGTATGAAATGTTTGCAAGCATTTATCTTTCTGAAGTACACGGCTCAGCTGGAGCACATTGCTGTGCAGCGGTGTCTGCGTCTTTTGACAATGTGCTGAGGTTCTTTTTGCTGTCTTTCGTGTTTAAAGAACCTCTCTGGTTGAGTAATGTGTTGTTGTTTTGATGCAGCAAGCAGGTTAGAATATTTTTTCATGTTCAAAAAATTTCTAAACGCGGGAATTTTTGTTTGGACTGCTCTTTTAGCCGTCCTCATTGTAGCCCTGTCTAAATATCCAGACAAGGAGTCCTCGTCAATAGACTGGGACAAGACCAAGGTGGTCTTCAAAGACTTCCTGACGGTCTTCGACAAGATTGTGCTACCCACCCACAAGTGCTGCCACCTTCAGTTCCTGCTCTTTTACCTGTGCAGCCTCAGGCCTGTATGCCACCCTTTTTCCATATTCTCATTTCACTATTTTACTGATTTCTTTGGGGTTTTTTCTTGACCATGTTCAGAAAGGGGCATCTGCAGAAGGCTACATTTCTGGTACTGCAGTTCCCTTACTCAGAAAAAAATTGGCAGCTGGAAGTGATTATACAGTAAAACCTCGTTATAACAAAACGGGATATAACAAACTAATGGATATAACAAAGCAATCATAATTCCCCTTGCTTGCTAATAGTGGGAAGAAATGGACATTGGCTATAACAAACTAATGGTTATAACGAAATAATTACGACCGCTCCTTCAACTTTGTTATAACGAGGTTTTACTGTATATGCATAACACACATCATCACGGTGATTATTGAATCATGATGATGGTGATGACTATGATTAGCATTTTTTAATGGCACATGAGCAGCCACTGCACGATACTACTTTATAGCTCTATGTGAAACAGTAATGTCCCATTAATATGAACACTGCTATAAATAGTTTCTGGGAACCTTTTTGTTCCCACACAGTTCTGTGCTGTCAATATAGACACCTGCAGTTTGAACTATGGGCAACCAGTATGAGAAAAATCTGGGTGAATACAATTTTTCATCTCATCATTATGGACTCAAGTTTTCTCTAAAAAAGATACTCAAAAGTGCCTTCCCCCCCCCCCCCCTCCCATCCCTGTAAAAGAATATTAGTAAATTTGTTTGGGTTATGCGACACGCTCCCTTTGTGTTGCAACGTGTGGTTGCATTTTAATAAAGAAGGCCATGCATGATTGTAATTTTGAGTTCTCTGCGATACTAAGGCATGCAGGTTGAGTTTGCACCGTAACAAGACTGTCTCAATGTCCACTTTAGTACCCCTTTGATATCGTGGAAGGCCCAGCTCCTAATCTGTTTCCTGTCAAAAATTCTGTTTCAATAAATTTGCCGGCTGCCGTTCTCGGCCTAAACCAAACATCCAAAAAAAGCCCAAAATTTTGTGGACGATAAACAAAAGCTTAGATAAACTATGCATTCAAAGTAAAAAAAAATAAACTCGGAAAAACACCCTCCGATTTTACTGAAAAACAAACTCAGAAAACCAAAACCCTACCTACGGTATTTTGTAATACCACTTTGGAATATAGTGTAAGATATTAATGTGCGATGCTACGTAAATGCTACGATACCACTTTGTGGTACCATGCAATACTATGTTACTGCTATATGACCTGAAGATCATGCCTGTAGTAAGACCTTGCTCCGCCATCGCAGGCTCTAGCAGACGCGTTCCTTGACTACCTGTGGAAGAAAGTGCAGAATCCGAGCACCGCAACTGTCATCCGGCAAGCGTCCGCTTTCTACATTGGAAGCTTCCTCGCAAGAGCCAAATTTGTGCCTCTCAGGTGAGTGGCGACTGCTCCCTCGCCATTGTTGGTGTGGCATGGCTATCGCGATGCCTGCTGGAAGTCTGCCATGTTTCGTCTGGAACAGAATTTCCGGCATTTTTCTTCCTCTTCGGGTTCCAAGCGAGCGACGAAGTCGGCATTGGCGGTATCTAATCTGCTCAAGCGTGACCGGAGTGCATGAAATCTGTGCGGTGAAGTATTATGCGAAGAGATTTGCACAAAAACAAGAGATTGTTCAGCAATACTTAACATAAGGATTGTACTCTTCATCATTGGCTTCTGGAGGACTTTTGATGTTGTGCATCCTGTGAAACTTCCCATTGTCATGTCTGTTTGCTTTAGAGTCAACTTAATGGGTTTTTTTTATACAAGATGGCAGGGATAATATAATGGGGAACATAAAGCGCCTACTGATTCCTGGGTGCCCATCTTTGTTTTATGATTCATGAAATTAAAGGGCAGAAATCTTCACGTGGCCTAAAACAACTAAAATACCACATTAAAAAAAATTTCTGTTGGCTGTGCTTCTTTCGTAGGTTGTAGTGATTGTTCCTTTAGGAAAAGATCAATTGCAGTGGACAGTGATGTGGGATTGGTTTTCTCAAGGACAAATACATAGCATATTTGTAATTAATCGTGCCAGATGACCTGTGGCATTGGCGGAGGACTGATCTCAAAGCACATCTGAGGTCGACCCTCTTGGATGCTCCCTTCAACTGGCAGAGAAGCAATCGGAGAGGGCATTTTGATTTGGTCCTTTGTAGTCTCTGGGATTGGCGGAGTACCAATTTTATACTGTGCCTGGGACCGGCACTCTCGAATGTGCTCGGCGTTGGTGGGGGACCAATCCATGACTGCATCTCTTATTGGTTCTCTACAAGAGGAGTAGTCGCCAGAATGCAACGATCTGACACCGGCACTTTCAAGGACCGATTCGATAGTGCATTTTGGGATCGGTCCTCCCACATGCACTCTGGAGTCGGCAATGAACCAATCCCCGAGTGCAGCCGAGATCGGTTCTTTGAGGAGGAATCTTGGATGTACTCATTTTCTCTCTCCCCGGTGTTCGTGCAGCACCGTGCGCGACTGCCTGTCGCTGGTGTGCCGCTGGGCGCATGCCTACCTGTCCTCCCTGGAGGAGGGCAGCGCTCTGCTTCACCCGGACGTGGCGAGGCACGGCACTTTCTACGCCGTCTGCCAGACGGCCCTCTACGTCTTCGCCTTCCACCACCGCAGTCTCGCCCATGGGGACAAGGGTGAGGAGCGACTTCCCTTGTGGTTGTGTTATCATGAAAGACACGGACTTGTTGGCGATTGTCGCCCGAACGTAGCCGATGGGATGGTAGTTACGTTTTGGAGCAATGGCTTTTCAACTACAACCAGATGTCCAGTTTGGGTCATGGTGAGAGCGAGAGCACTATTGTCTGCTGATGGGACGTGATGCTACAGCTTGCGCATAATCAATCAATGAAACATTTTTGACCCAATCGTCCTAATCGGGTAATGTATTGGGGAGAACATCTCACTAACGTACAAATAGCTAGAGAAGTCTCGCGGCCTCTCATGGGTTTACCTTTAGCACTCCTTCATCCATCGGTCAATGAAAGCATTTCTACAGCAGCAGAGCAGCTTGAGATTCCCAAACGAAGCATAGGTTGTTAATGGGCTCCAACAAAAAATAGGAGACAATCACAATTTCAGCCTCTGTCCGATCCCACTTTGCCTAGGCGCTCGATTCGTAGCAGAAAATCAAGTTCTTTTTTTGTGATATCTTAGCAGACGACATGCAGTGTTTTGTTGTTTTATTTTTATGCCTGCAAATGGCACTTCGTAGCAGACGAATTGCGTTCTTCACTCTCTCCAAGAGGCAAGTGAGCTCTCGCTCTCACATTGACCAGGATCGACTCCTGAGGTGTGTAGGTGGCACAAGCTGCCAACCAATTCAAGGGTTTCGGCCACATTCGTCCATCAATCTAGGCTAGAGGAAGTGCAAAGGATGAGTAGAGGTAGAAGACCCCAAACAAGTGCGAGCTAGCAACTGACATGTTATTGGCAAGCAAAAATAGTCTTCCGCTTTACTTTTCATTAGGGGTGTTAAAATAGCAAATAGTAACAAATCAAATACCAAATCGAATTAAGGGGGAACACTACCCAAGGGGGTTAACTTTTAAACCTACGGCTCAATATGAATGAAATTTAAAGTCTATACTGGAAGTTGCAAGGCAGAATGCAGTGCAAAGCTTCATCAGTGTACATGAGCTGTAAAATAACTTGTAGTCATTTTTATTAGGAACACACCGACATTGTTTAGGAAAACTATCGTAAGGAAACTAATGTAATACCCAACATTTTTCTACTCTAGATCCGCAGCAGAATGCTTGGAGAGCGCAGCTGTGAAACGAAAATTTCCAAAAAGTAATTTACTTTATGCTAACATCGCAGTGAAAAATCAAATAAATTTTTTTGCCTTTTATGTCATCCACAAAATCTTAACATCTTTTATAAAAGACATCCACAAAGTCAAAAAACAATTCCACAATTGCACTGCCCATAAAATTCCACTTAGGAACAACAATGAGCGAGTCTTTCCTCTTGTCCCATTAACAAACAATAGTTTTCCTAAAATGAAATTTATGCCAAAATGTGGAACGGAGAAAAATGTGTTCAAAGTGTTCCAACTCCTACCTTTTCTTTAGTTTCAATGGACCGAAAATTATTTATAAAAAATTAACTATGCGGTGTACACTAATGAAACTTTCTGGAAATACTCTCCAGGTGGTGGTTGATGTAAATATGACATTTTTCAAAAATCAAATTTTTTTTTTTTGGGTAGTGTCCCCCCTTAAGAAAAAGAAAAGCTGCATATTGAGTCGAATATTTAATAGTGATTTTATTTGTAGGAAATTTTCAGTGTGCTGTGAATGAGAATATTCTATGTGTAGAGCACAGGGATTTTGAGATCCAATTTTTATGGCGCAGACATAATCTATCTACCCTAAGCGTCATAGAAAACCCAAAGTTTGAGACATGCGTGACTTTTTTCCCTTCATTAAAAGCACGAACTAACACAGTGACATGCCCTCTTTCTATATCAGAAAAGGGGAGTACCACGGTGCTTGGTCCCAAATTTAAAGGCCGACGACCAGACTCGAGATTCTGCAAGGCAGAAGACCCTCCTCACCATGGGAAAGGAGGAAACAGGCAGCAGTGTAAAGGGTAGAAGGGGAGAGAGGAGGAAGCGAGGGAAAAGTGGAAAGCGCGAACTGGTCGTCGGCCTTTAAAGGTGAAAAAAAAACGTAGGATTTTAATTTATAAAAATAAACGGGTAGGGTTTAAGTATGATTAAACTGGATTAGACAATATTTAGTCTGAAGAAAAAGAAACGTGCGCTTAGGGTGGTGCAAGTCACCGTCCCAAAATCCGCTATGCATCTGTTTCTCCGCCCATCTATTTTGTTTTGGAGAGCCTACCGTAATCTCCTTGAGTCAACGCCCACACCACCTTTTGGGCGAACATTGATTTAAAAAAAAATGCCGTATGATCGCCCATCTCCACCCCTAGAAATACCCCATTGCGGACTCTGCAATCTGCGAGCATTCATCCTGCCCGAATGACGCAGCTGCGGTGGCTGCGGATTTTACAGTTAGAGGATGTCCGTGACAAAGTAAAACTTCCCTTTGTTTACGCATTTCCTTCCCGATTTTTGCGACCCCAAAGTCATAGTATGTGCGTGCGAAAGGAAAATGATGAGGATAAGAGAATGAAACTTTGTTTTACTTTTGAAAAAGGTTGTTCGGACAAAAGAAACAAATTCGGAAAAATAACAGAAGCAGTAACCCATTCAGGGATTACGAGGTGAGCGAACGCTTCATACCTTGGGTAATGCAACCGCGGAGTGTAAGCTCAAAGTCCGTCTTCACCGAAGTAAGGCCACCACAAACTCGCTCCTTCCTCCGGAATGTCGCGACCGTGGTTGGTAAGGTTGTGCAATGTTTAAGACAAAGCCAACGGATAAATACTGATTTGCTAGAACGCCGCACGCGGACGTTCGTGGAGCGTCCCATTTCGACCTCCATGTTTATGGTGCTCTCCGTGCTGCGTAGCAACTCCGCCTTAAGCCGCGTTGATGGCACACCACGCGCAGGTGCACGCACGTATGCTCCGAACAAGAAAGTCGTGCAAGAGCCTGCTCCTTGCAATTGACAAGGCTTGTATCCGCCCGACTTGTATCAAAGTATCCGCCAACGCTATCGCCGGCGTTCCTGCATCCCAAACATCGCTCTTCATCGCTTCTTTCGTCCGCTCGCTCGTTGTGCCTGTTTTTTTTTTTTTTTTTTTTTTTTTCTATTTTTTTGTTGGTCTTTTTTTTTTTTTTTTAAACTAATGACGAGAGCGTGGTAGTTTTAGAAACGTGCTTTCACGAAACAAACGTCTGCACCGTGTGCCGATCGGCGGTGTTCATCGCATGTATGCAAGCAACGACCTTTGCGATTGTAAAACATGCTTTCACGGTCATTTTTCACATGAAACAACGAAACTGATTCGAGCTTCGAGCTTGTTGCATCTTCTGCGCAGCCGCGCTAGATACATACAGAAAAATAGAAGTTTTCTTAGCTTCTTCTAAACTTTTTCCGCTTACCCACCGGGACATGGCCCACTCCACTTTTCTTATGAACTTCGGGCGGCAGGGGGGTGGTAGACTTATCGGGACATCGCGGTAGATTCTGAAGAGGAAGCGAGCGAAACCGAAACCCCGGAGACGGCTTCTGCACGAATTGGCCGTAAGTGTGCGTGTATTGTCGCGTGGAAGGAAAGGAAACGGAAGGAAAAGGGACGACGCCGAGGATGCCTGCACCTAATCGACGCTTTCCTCCTTTCATCGCCTTCTTGCAGTTTGTATTTCAGACGCGGCAATCGCACTGTTGGAAACACTCTCAAATCTGGGCACGCCATACTTTTTCTGTTCCGTCTCGTTCCGAATTTGAACTTGCGGCTTGTGGTTCCAAAACGACGGCTACGACGACTCGGCTCGTTCTGTTGGCGTGGTTAATGTTTTCTTTTTGTGATCTGGCAATTGCCTCTTTCTGCTAGTGTGCCAAGCGCGTTCTATGTCGACGCTTTAATTTGAAACAAAGGGCTTTACTCGCAAAAAAAATTGGGCACGGCGTGGGATTCCTGTCGCCCATCAAGTCGTACCTGCAAGCGGTGCTAACGGGACGTTTTGGTGGTGATTCAAGTTTAGATTGCGTCGCGATCGTGATTAAATATGCAAGCTACGTGGGTTGTGGCGTTTGTAATCTTTTTTTTCCAGCCTGTGCGCTAGATTTTTTAGGAATGATAGGATCAAGAAGGGTTTCTCGCATGGTCTGTACAACATTGCTGCACTAACATTTAGGAGAAAAAAAAAACAGCTGTTTCGACGGCTCCGGGCCGACCGTGCTTCTTTCGCCGAATATATGGGATATTCGAGTGACTGAATACTGGGAATTCGATTCGCGTATCAAATTATTCTGGAACTTAGGCACTATTCGATTTGCATTTGTATATTCCAGTATTTGTATTAAAATTATTTGCCTTTTAATAAAACAACATTTGCTTCTTTGTGCTAGCCTCGTATACTCCTACTCCTTGTCTTCGGCACTTTCTGTGTCCATGATATTTACTCGACACGTCTATCGGGCTCTTGAGATATTAGGGGCGAAGCTCCTTAGGGTCTAGCCTTGTCCGGCGTCCGTGCTCACATCGATTGCCATCCCATTTGTCTTCTTAAAAAAATAAAAAATGTTTGCGCAGTCGACAGGATTCGAACCTGTGCGGGGAGACCCCAATGGATTTCTAGTCCATCGCCTTAACCACTCGGCCACAACTGCAAGACGAGTAGGGGGCTCTGAGATGGGGTAGTAACTCAAGAGCTGGGGATGTCATGGATGAAACGTTGCATGTAGCCGCTCAACGTCTATACAGGAGAGGGTACTGCGGTCAAATATGTATATGATCGCGTTAAACTTTGCATGCATTGGCTCAACGTTTTATGCTCAAGTGCGTATATAACCACGTTCCATACCACACATTCTCTTTCTGACATGGACCGTTGACTTAAGCGGTGGAGATGCGTTCCCACGGCTTCTAGCATGATCCAAGCTGATTTGCTAGAACAGTGGTTTTCAACCATCAATGTTTCGCGGACCCCTTGTGGATAGGCGGAGACGATGGAGGACCCTGTTTGTGGTGAGGGGAGGGGAAAGGTATAGGTTAAATATAATAATGATTTAATAATTAGGTATAACTAAGGGCTAGTGTGAAGTAGACCTCTGTTATTGACATATACACCAGAAAACTTGCCCGAAAACTGAAACATTACTTCTCGGCCTCAAAAAGATACAATTTTTATTGCTGGGTTGACTAACTTCGCGGACCCTTAGAGTGCCTTCGCGGACCCCAGAGGGTCCGCGGACCCCCATTTGAGAACCGCTGCGCTAGAATAACCACTGGCTCTGCATTTCACCGACCATAAAGCAGTAATAATGAAGTCGAAACGCAACCTGGAACTCAGCACTACCTATGAGCAATAAAAAAAAATCGGCACCATCAGCACTACCAATCAACAATAAAATCAGTATCATCAGCACCAACCAGAGCTTCGCCCCAATCAACATCATTCACCACATGGAGATACGGTCATTTTTTTATCAGTCCGGAGCAAATTCGTTTGTGGCGATGCTTGCCTGTTGAAGAAAGGCCAACTCTCATACTAAGTTTGGTGGACCGCAGTGTGTCGTCATCTATGTATCCAATGCATTCGTTTAATGTTGCACAACTTCTCACTCTTTTTTTTGGTAGATGTTCAAAATGTAATAAAATTGCTGGAATAGAAACTATAGCCAACTACGAGCAGCTTGTATATTCGAGCAGTGTTTTAAAATAGAAATGCTCCATATTTTTACTGAAAGAACCGTTGCTTTAAATAGCTTGTTGATGCAGTTGCTCCAAATGCTCTTACAAAGTAGTTGAAAGGCCCTTTTCTGACTCGCACACATGCTACCTTGTTGGCACTCTAAATGAAACTGCAGCGATTCCTCGATTTCCGCCCGACGATGCCACGAAAGTAACGTGACGTGGCCTGCCATGACCTTGGGGGGGAGCACGGCTGCAGAGGAGGATTAGGCTGGTGCCTGTCGTGCCGCAGGTCGCTCTCCGGCTGGAAGCTTCACGAAAGCTTTGGCAGCCAGGAGTTGGGATGCCACGAAGGCAGCGACACTTGCGTTCCCTTGCCTTTAACACAGAACTGGAACATGTTCTGGGGCTGCTGCTTTATAAGAAAGGCAGTTGGCGCTGACCCCCAAGTGTTGCGCCCAACCGACAAACAGGGAAGGGTCTGCCACAAGACACCGACTTGCATGATGTCCGACTCACGTGACCTCATGACGTCAAGTGTAATCATACGAACGCAGTAGGTGCCCGGCTCACTCGCAACATGCTTTGCGTGTCTCCGAGCTTAATCGGATACGATCGAGGCACATTTAATTTTGTTGCGACTTCTACAATCAACTGCCAGGACCGTGACATCCTACAGAGGATGCGCCGTCCTTTACATGTTATTCGTTGCCACTCCAAGACCCCTTTCGAAACGTGGGCAGCATAGGGCGCTAGACACATCGCTTGGAGCCTCGTATTGGACACTGTAACAAAACTTTACTTTGGATCGTGACGCACTGATCTTAAGGGGGGACACTACCCAGAAAAAACAATTTCTGCAAAAAAAAGTTGATTTTGAAAAATGTCATATTTACATCCACCAACATCTGGAGAGTATTTTCAGAAAGTTTCATTAGTTTACACTGCATAATTAATTTTTTATAAATTATTTTCGGTCCACCGATGCTAAAGAAAAGGTAGAGGTTGGAGCACTTTGAACGCATTTTTCTCCATTCCACTTTTTGGCATAAATTTCACTTTAGGAAAACTATCGTTTTGTTATTATGCAACTTAGATTAATTTTCATGAGTGTTTCTGGGGTGAAATTTTAAGGGGAACATAACTATGAGCTTGTATTTTTTATTTTTGTCATTTTTCATGCTCAAGAACTAAAAGTTTGGACAAAGGATGGAAATCTAAAAAACTGTATTTGTGTTTATATGGCTTTTTTGTCATGAAAGATGGTGTAACATAGAAATATAGCTCCATAGTTATCTACTCTGAACTTTCCTAATGCAATGTAACACATGAAAACAACAAATTTATAAGTAATTTCAAAACGATAGTTTTCCTAAGCAGACACGCCCACTTTCGTCTTTGAACGTTTGCAATTTTTTTTGTACTTCACCCAGGTTAACAAAAATTGGCAGAAATGTTCTCAACATCAACAGAAACAAGCCCTGTAAATATAATTTAAATCAGACAAGTGGTTCAAAAATTTACTTTTTTGGGTAGTGTCCCCCAGTAGGTGCCCGGCTCACTCGCAACATGCTTTGCGTGTCTCCGAGCTTAATCGGATACGATCGAGGCACATTTAATTTTGTTGCGACTTCTACAATCAACTGCCAGGACCGTGACATCCTACAGAGGATGCGCCGTCCTTTACATGTTATTCGTTGCCACTCCAAGACCCCTTTCGAAACGTGGGCAGCATAGGGCGCTAGACACATCGCTTGGAGCCTCGTATTGGACACTGTAACAAAACTTTACTTTGGATCGTGACGCACTGATCTTAAAGAGGTACGGAAACAAAAATTTTAATATTCAAATTTCGTTCGGAAATCAGTCAAGCACGACAGATAACAACTGTAGATGATATCTGTCGTGGATTTTGGATTTTGAACGACTGGCTGTATTTTTCGTTCCAAACGGTGCACTCAAGCAAGCACTCCAAGAGAAACGAACGGAGAGCGCGATGCGTCATGGGATATCCGATGCCAACAAGAACAGAAAGAAAAGATTTCCCATATTCGTGACGTAGCAAGGCTGGCGTGGTTATGCTTTGCCGTTAGTGGCTTTGTCAGCGTTTTGGTGGTGTCAATAGCATCAACACGTTACAACCGAGCCGTTCGAAGCACCCGTGGGGTGATGAGCGTGTGACTGGCCCAAGGAGCAAGTAGCTTCCACAACACTGTCAGCTCAGGGCTGTACGGGGTGGGGAAAGCAACTTTTGTCCGAGTTTTGAGCGACAAGCTAATCTTCTAGGGGAGAATGGCTCTGTCCAGGTACACAAACGAGGGTCCGAGAAAGAGGGAAGTCCCTCCTTTTCGTCTTCATGGACTGTTTGGTACAATGCGCGATTTGTGAGTTGAGGAGGAAAGCTAAGAAGGAAAATGTTGAAATTCCAAAGAGCGGCACTGCTTCGATGGAACTTGCTACGTCATGACTATGTAGCAAGTTCCCCAACGTTGCTAGGTTACCTCCCAAATAGGCTCCACATGCATCCACCATGCACATTGAAAGATTGTTTAATTAGTTCTAAAATTAGTTTGCTTGTGCCTTTCAACGAAAGACTGGTATTTTTGAGGTTATGCTGCAACATGTAACACATTAAAGCTAAAAAATGAGCGCTGGAATTTCATTTCCGTACCCCCTTAAAGGTTTTCGCTCAATTCATTTGGGGGTTCTCATCCCGCGTGCATGCAGGTCTGCAGTTCCTGCGGGACCTGAACCTGGAGGCCCTGGTGATGTGTCCGCTGAACCCCCTGAAGGTGTGCCTGCCTGCCGTGGTGCAGCGCTTTGCCTCAGTGGCCCGCCACTACCAGCTGGTCTACTGCTACAGCGTCATAGAGCGCAACCAGCGGAGCGCTTTGCCGGTGGAGGCCGGCATCATGCTCTACGGGGAGTCCCGCGGCGACGACGTCGCGCTTGACGCCTTCTTCCCATTCGATCCCTACCTCCTCAAGAGGTAAGGCTGGCCAACACTGGCGCTTCATTAGCCGACACTGGCACTTCATAGGCTGACACTGGAATTTGATGGCCTGACACTGCACCTTATTGGTCAACACTGACGTTTTACTGGCTGCCACTGGCACAGATCGTCAACACTGGCATCTCATTGGCCGACATCAACGTCTGATTGGTTGACACAGGCACCTCGTTGGCCAACACCGGCACCTCATTGGCCGACACCGGCACTCATTAGCTATTCGGTTAACCCTTTGAGGGTCGCTGACGCGCATGCACAGCAGCAATTGCAGATTTAAAAGTTGCCGCCTAGTATTTGCGAAATCGTGCGCACCCCGGGAGGTGATGCTGTCAGTTATGCTTTTGGGAAACAGTAGTTGTGTTCACACCATGTTTTGCCTTGTTGGGGCTTTTTATAGTAGTAAAATTGGGTGCTACATGCACGTGATAGGCATTGGCTTTTCGTTTCGACGCTTCTCGGAATCGAATTCAAAGGAGAGCTCCTCATCCCACGAAGAAGCTGCGTAGAGTACCTCCAGGGTTCGGAGTCCGAGACGGCCGGAATGTCGTGGAAGCGGAAGTGCCAAAACAAAACTGAATGGGAGAAAGACGACAACACTCCGTCCTCAATATTTCCATTCAATGCTCTTCGTTCTTCTCATCTTGCAACAAGTGCACGTGTTACTGATAGATAATTCGAACAAAAATCTGTACTGACTTATTCTTTGTACTATCACTTTGAAATTAAAAAAAAAAAAGGCACCCACTAAACCTTGTTTTTTGAAACAAAAAAGAAAAAATGGCTCCTAGTCACTTCCCGCAAGGCATTTTTTTTAACGTAAGAGCGCCACGCTAGTTTGCGTCGGCCTTGGGCTGGCACTCGCCTTCTCCCTGCTCGGAACGCAAGCCCCAGCCAAACTCTTGTGTTCCCGCCTTTCTTTACTAGAGCGCATTACCGGAAGCTAGTTGTGGCTAGCCGCATAACGCATTCTGCATTAAAAAAAGCTGCTTGCCTCAGGCAAGGATCATTCAATTTTATGCCACTGGTTCAGAATCCTTCAAGGTACTCTGTAGTGACTTTTGGGATGTTTGTGCTAAGTCCTATACAATTCAAGAAGAGGTTCTGCATTGCTTCTAAGATTTATTAAAAAAAGGAGGGGGGGGGGGGGGGGATCTCCAACCATGTCAAATTAGGGACCAGATGTTTGATAACCTAATCGGCCTCTTCTTCAGGGGTGACTGTGGCTTTTATGCTTCCAAGATGTTTCTGCTTCACGTCGGGAGCACGCTTGTACTCTTTCAGGAGCTTCCTATGGTCTCTAAAAGTTACTTATTAACCTTAGTGTTTTTGTTGCACTGAAAAGAAAAATGAATAAGTAACTTTCAGAGCCCATTGAAAGATCCTGAATGAGCGCAAGCACCACGTGACTATACCGGCCACTTTTCTGCAGGCTTCCATGGGCGCCAACATTTGTTTTGCGGCGTAAATATATGTCTAAAACAAATTTTCTTTCTTCGTAAATTTATATTATGACATCCTTTTTCCTTCCAGGCTGACTAAACAAATTGTTTGTTTCCTTTTGCATGAAATTTGCTAAGCATAATCATGGCTGGGAAACAGGATGACATGCAAAGTTTTAAGTTTATTTCAGTTTATCCTTCATAGAATTAGGTAAAACTAAATCAAATAAATGCTGCTCCCCCTGAGGAAAGCTACCATTTAAAAAAGATGATAATGGCCAGTCCTGTAGGTGAAATGTACAGTATAGCACCCTTGTCACGTGCCTATGAAAAGAAACTACAAAAATTGCACCAATTTTAATTCAAAAATTTTCTTTTCGGTTTTTATTTTTTGTGTGTATTATGTTGAAGATACTGCAGCTTTTCCATAAAAATGCAAAAACTGGTTCCACACATTGATTCATTATTATATGATAGTTTCCTGAACTGATCTGATACCGAAAAGTGAAACTGAGGTAAACGTGTTTGAATGTTTAGAAAGCTGCACTTGAATGGTGCCGGCATGTCGGAAATATCAGGATATTTGAAAGCTGATAAAACTAAAATACAAAAGTGCAATGGACAACGACAGAACAAAGATACGCTTGTCCTCTCTATCGTTGTTCTCTCCTTGTCCATTGCACTTCTGCATTTAAGATGTTTACCCAACTAGCCCAAAAGTTCATTTTAATTTGATAAAACCATCAGGAGAAATGTTTTATTATTTACAATATTGAAATAAAATATTTACAGTTTTTTCCTTTTCCTTTTCCCCCTTCACCAGATTTACCTTTTCATTATAAATCTGGTGTTGGATTTCATATAGCTTTTTTTTTAGGTTCTCAATCCAATGTATATGCAGAAAAAACCATGTTCTCGTGCACACGTGAGGCATGCCAACACACTTAAAAAAACTAGTAAAATAAACTAATTCATTCCTTTTAAACCACTGAGTGCAGTGGAATAAAGAGATGATGTGTGTGACGCTTCTTGTGTTCAAAAATAAATAAACATATCTAAATTTCCATCTCAAGGGGCTAACAAAAGTTTCTTAAAATTTTCATAACTATAGGTTTCATAACCTGGATATTTGCCTTTTACATAATCTAAAGTATATGCATGCCAAATTTGGTTGTGAAAGGACAGTATGAAGAACAGGATTTTTGTGTACACACTGTAAAGATGCCCAAACACTACATAAAAAGAAAAATGCACGCAAATGTTCCCATAGATTTGTAGCGATACTCTTCCCGTGGTGCGGAAAATAGTATTTTGTTAATAAATTTTCGTGAGAAATTGGATCTACAGAAGACTGCAATGGAGGGGCGACGGCTAGGCCTACTTGTCAAAGTGGACGTGATGGTGGGCGACGTTCTTGAAAGAACCACACAGAGAAAAGTGGCGCAAATTCACGCCGTTCTGGGTCACCCGGAGGTCTTCTTGACTCTACTTTTTTTGCCATCAAAATCAGCACAAATTATTTTTATGCATCAAATATAAAGATTAAAAAAAAAAAAGACAAAACACAATAAAACCCAAAATCAAATTTTTTCTGTGCAAAATATTGCTGTTTTTCGACTTGAATCTCCCCTTAAAAATCTGACTTTTAGAAATAACTTTAATTTTAAAGGTAGTGTCTCCCCCTTAACACACCGGGCCGCCTGCTGGCAACAACCCAGCCGTTGCCCAGTTGGGCACTGCCAAAGCGGCGTCTTGGCAGCCTCATCCTAGCTTTACTGGATTGCTGTCTCGAAGACAAGACAAAGCTTGGTGTTGAACACTAACCAGGTAGTGCCGATTTGTGTAAATAACTGTACAGATTGCACTGTGGTGCCTGAAGTTATGGTTGTAACTGCGTCTCTTTTCCGTTTCCCAGGACTGGCAAGTGGATCAACCCGTTGTACAGACCGTTTGAAACTGCTCCCGATGGGCCCGTCTTGGACGAGGACAATGAGGTGCGACGGATTGCTTCGGTCGAGCCACTACCAGTGTTTGGGTTCTTGTTTTTGCTCATTGCATTTCGAGCTTTTCTTCTGGAAGAATACTGATGCATGCAGAATTTCCTGCTGCAAGTTCTTACCCGTTCAATTCACTTTTGTTATTTGACACCGTCCTTCCCAATAACAAGTTAAACTGTACAGTCAAACACCTCTATAACGAAGTCTCCAGGACCTTGAAACCAATCTAAAAAAGCAGGATAAGCATACTGGATGAAACCGACCTTTACATCGATAGACCGTAGTGTTACCGTAGCTGCAGTCGATCGTAGGAGCGCAACAGAATCCTCCACGCGATTATAGTGTGCACCTGACAGCTGCAGCGTGCGGTGCAGCGAAGGGCGAGGACGGGGTGAGTGGGTTAGGCGCACAACCGAGCCGCCGGAGCCCTAAGGGGGTCGCATTTTTCTGCGTGGCTCTCCCGATTTCGCTTAGATTTTGGCGTCGCAGGTAGAGTCGGATCACGTTTCCTCGACCGCATATTTTCGCTCCAGGGTGGAACAATTTGGGACTCGGACCGAGCAACATTGGGAATCTTGGGTCCTGACAAAGATTGACGCGTCGTTCGAGCAAATGCCAAGACAGCATAAAAAAGTTTTGGCTGCCCATGAAAGTGCTTTCTTATAATATGTACTCTCGTTTGTGCGGGTTCTTTTAAATGCGCCGACGCACATGCAAAACACTCGATGGGAGTTTTGAAAAGCGGAACACCTTGGAGTGGATTGCCGCTGCATTCTATTTTGGCTCGGTTTAAATAGTTTGTTGGTGTGCAACCTTGTGGGTAGATGATGCTACGTGACTATATTGTTGCGCACAGGCTTTCTTAGCAGCAACATAGTCGCGTAGTGCCTTCCAGACACGAGGTTGCGCACACTAACAAATTATTTGAACCCAAAACCGAACGTGCGGCAGAGGGGCGCGGCGGCGGTCTCAATTGTTGCACCTAACCGACAGAAGCTGCCACAGTATTTTTGTTCTCTATGCGCATCACTTGTGACCGATAATATAGGTAGAATTGATTACTATTGACCTAGAAAATCCGTAATTCCGGTCATTTTTTGCTGGTGGGGGGCCGCGCAATTGCTTCATTAAACAGAAATATTTGTTACACAGGAATTCGTTGTAGTAGTCGGAGAAACACACTGAACACATAAGAGATTGGCTAAGACTTCATTTTTGCATTGTTAAACGGACGTTTTCGTAGTAGAGGCGTTCGTTGTAAAGGTGTTTGACTATAGTGCTGATATTTAGAGCTTACAGTAAAGCCCCGTTAACTCGAACACAGATATGTCGAAAGATTGGTTAAGTCTTAAACTTTTGTGTGTTGCGAAATTAATCCCCATAGGCACCACATATTCTGACATCACTTATCTCCAAAAGTTTTTGGAATGGCAATAAAATATCTAAAAAAGTTGCCTGCAAAAATAAAGAATATATCCTCGAAAGGACACTGAAGTCAAAGGAGAAAGCTTATGTCCTTCGCGGACAAAGTGGTCGCGACCTAACAATAATGCTAACAAAGAGAGAAGGTTGTAAAAAAAATAAACAAAAGAAGGAAGCACCGCGAACGCGTTCTGGGTGCACAGAAGGCGATGTGCAGAGAGAAGAAAACGGTTCAAGGAGGCCTGTTTTCTTGGTTTTTGCTTTCTCCCCATCTCCCACGACTTTTCTTTCTCTTTCTGTCTATCTTTTTCTCTATGCTTGTACTGGCTTGTGGCATTCTATCAGCTCTCCCGACCCCGTCGTCACCGTAGTCGCCACGCCGACATGCCTTTGTCGCGTCATTTTCGTTAAACCTCGTCCCGTCACCTAAAAATAATACTAGATTTTCTAAATCTACGGTTGGTACTTCAAAAATTCTGGTACTCCGCTTATTTCAAAATTTTTCCCGATTTTTATGACCTCGAGTTAACGGGCGTTCACTGTATTTTATGGTGGCCAAAATGGCCGCACGAGAAGCAGCGACAGTGAATGGCACAGTGGATCTTGTACCGTAAAATGAGCTGCGAAAATTGGCACCTGCACATAGAAAGCTCAAGCACCGAATCTGTAGCCAGGTGGTCAGTCTTGGGTAGTAACGTGTTACTGTAACTTTGTTACTTTTTTGGTAACTTGTAACTGTAGTTCTATTACTTTTTCTAAAGTAACGATAAAAGTAACGACGTTACTTTTGTCGTTACTTTCCAGTTTTTTATGAATAATACATCAGTGAATGAGTACAGTCTAGCTGTTCCTTGCACATTCCAAATTGTCTGTTCCGACGTTTCGAGTGTGAAGTTGGCCTTGCACAAACTTGTAAATACGTTCTTTCTCGCGAGTCACGGCCCAGATATAGCCACATGTAGATGTGATGTAAAAAAAAAAAATAGTTATCTTTATGCACGCACTTGTACTTTCTGACTGAACACTTTCATGTTAGTATCTTGAAGCACTATCAATGTTGGCGCTGTTCTTTTTTTCTGAGCAAACGCTTTTTGATCGAGTGAATCAACCGTGAAACAGAAATACACGCAGAGGGCATTGCGAATGTTTCGTATTTAGAAAAAGTAGTAGAGAGAAAATTTACTGCCGTTTGCGCGTGGTTTGCCCATTGCTTTGGGTCTGTTCAACAAGGGCAGGGACCTGTTCGCCGTCAAATGAGGGAAACATTTAGACGCTAATTTCGAGAAGCAACTGCTGCGAAGTTACAATATAAAGTAAAAAACATACTTTTTAATTTTATGCAATAAACCTTGTTGATGGGCGTTTTCTAGTTTTTCTAGATGTTTCGTGTTGCAGAAAAGTAACGTTGTTACTTTTTAAAAGTAGCTGTAACTGTAACGAGTTACTCTTTTGTTGCGGTAACTGTAACGGTAACTTCGCTACTTTTTTCTGAAAGTAACTAACTGTAATAAATTACTTTTTAAAAGTAACTTACCCAAGACCGCAGTTGTACCTTTCGAAATTTCAAGGCACAGTTCTTTTCCTGTGAAAAACGAGACCAACAATCCCGCCAAAGTTTACGGGGGACATGTTTGCAGACAACCGAATGATCGACAAACTCCTGGCATCATTTCCCGACAGGTGCAGCTGGCAGAAAGCAGAGTGCGTTGTCCGCTCACCGCACATATCGGGTGATGGTGCCACAAGTCGCATCCATCGCTAACTCGTTCGTCCACGAACACGTTTGCCGTGGACTTGTACAAGTCTGTTAGCCTCGTTTTTTTTTTACACAAGGAAAACTACGCCTCAAGATTTCACGAGAAAAAGCCGACCGCCTCGATGCACATTAGGTGCAAGTGCGCATGTGCCGATTTACCCGGCTCGTCCTGCCGCGCAAATTCCGTGCGCACTCTAAATACGATGGCGTTCATGCTTCCAGAGTATAGAAAAGCTTTGTTTCAGCCTCCGTAGCAGTCGTCGTTCTTGCATTTTTTTTTCCAGGATGAGCCGGAGGAGGCGATGTGCAAGTCTCCCAAGTCTCCAAGCAGCGTTACTGACATGTTCAGCTACGGCACATCTCCAGGCTTCAAGCTGAGCCTGTCCCTCAACCATCGGTGATGCCCCAGGAGGATGAGAGAGAGGTCCTATTTATATCGTTCAAGCAGTAAAGATGTGGCAAACGCGGGATTTTACACCGGTGTCTTTTTCGCGACGACGCAATCAAAGTGCCAACACCGGCGTCAGAACGGGCTGGAATGCATAATTCATACCCTTGGTCTTACTTACTTACTTTGAATATTTTGGCTCTTTTCTTTGTTTCCATGCACATTTTGCGGTCATGTTGAGTCACGTTTTTTTTCTGCTTCATTCGCTCCCAGTTCACACAAACATGTCCCAGTGTTGTCATGCTTTAAATTTTTCCGGCAAAATGTCCCCCCCCCCCCTTCCCCCAAGCTTCATTTTAGTGCAACGGAGCATTTTTGGGAAATCGCCGGCTCAAGAGGCTCCGATATGAAAATACATGAGCATCTGTGTAACTGATCTCTGCTATAGATCTTTTCACCCTCCGCCACATGGGCGCTGCCATCTTGGAGTCACGTGATGCGGCCGCCATTAGGTTGCTTCAACTCGTCGCTCCGCTCTCCCCTCCGTGCTACTCGGCGTCTTGGCGGATGTGTTGAATTCGTTTCTTTCGTCGTGTTTCTCACCTTAGTGCGTAAAGTGTCGTCCGCCACTTATATATTCACCATGTAATTGCATTACAGTATTATGTTCACAATTTATGCAGGTAATTTTGCGACACGTTTTGACAATTTGCACCATCGGTGTGCCGGCCAGATGTGAGGAAGCTATATGGACACATGAATCAATGTTAATGCTCACGCACATTCAGCACATATATGATTCTAAGACAGCACAAGGGTTCAAAGGAGAATAAATTATAATAACTCAGGTTTGCTTACTAATAGTGGCGGAACATTCCTAATAGGAAGCACAATATAAACATATACATGATCGCGCATTTAAGATCTCGAGGAAGGTGAGAAAATACTCACTGTAAATACTCACATCGAAAACAGTGACTTTTGATCATATAGGTGAATTCGTGAACAAAATAGGCAACAAAAGTTTAATTAAATTTTTTTTTTTTTCTGATGCTAGAAGTAATGGTACGTCAACATCAGGCCATTTGTTTGTTTACAATAACACACCTCCATATGTTTGACATTGTTAATAGTTTTTGCTATATAAGCATTTACTAGATCGGTAACCCATTCCATTCGATTAATTTATTTCAACACAAAGGTTTTGACTTCCCACGTAAGAAACTGTCACAAACAGCTTGGGAGTTCCTGGGGTCCACAATATGTGACGCCGAAAAGAATCCGTCTGCATGAATATCGCACGAGTGTAGCGTTGTCAACAGGGAATATGGATTTACTTTTAGTAGCTGGCGACGCCGTTAATCTACAAAGCGCATCGGTCCAAACCAGTAAAGAGCTTTCGACTCGGGTCCATGGTGTGGTGCCTGGCGCTCAACTTCAGGTCATCTCTTTTGAGGCCTTCGATTTCACCTGGCAAATTTTACGGGCGATAAATGTCAGACTTCCTTTGAGGGCCCTGTCACTTATCTAATACCTTGAGAACGTCGTAATCAAACCTCTGTATAGCAAATACTGTAAACGGCTGAATTTTCGCGAGGACCCAATTTTCACGAATTCGGCGAATCGTGCACCTACAATTCGCGAAAAATAATTTAGAATACATTAGAATCTATATGGAGATCCCACCGCGTGGCAAAAATTAGAACCCGCGAATTATTCCAAACTTCAGCTTTGGCCTAAATCACGAAATATTGAGCCCGCGAAAAATAAGTCTTTACAGTAATCTATTTCAAAAGTCATTATTGCGAAATCTTGTTAATGAGTACTTTAGTTAAATAAATTTTCTAGTCGATTTAGGTTGGTCCATTACAATATGTCTCGAGAACATAATTTATTTTAATAAAACAGGCCGAGAGAAAAACACATTTTTATATTACAGTGTAGACCGCATATAACGTATGTCGCGGGAGTCGCGAAAATCCGCACTATAAGCAATACCGCGCTATAACCAAAACATCAATTTTTCAGGCCAAAATACATGCCATGAGACAACTTACTTTTGTAAAAGAATTTATTTGTATGTTAGATGAAAAATAAAGCTTAGTTTGGGGAAAGTCTATTTCACCAGACTAGTACACCTCTCTCTCAAGTGTGTCACAAATTTTGAAAGAAATTAGCGACTTTCGCCTGGCGCAGCCTTTTAACGGCGTCGCGGGCTGCGGACGGACGTTGCGAGCGTTCGGGAATGCTAACCCTAATCACTTTTCTCCGGCGATGAAAACGCATGAAAATTCGCATCCTTTATACGGTACGCACCAGTAATACCTTCAACTTGAGCACAGGCACGAAATGCTCCAAATAAGAAATCCGGGCGATGGTCGAAAACACAAATGTTTAGAAAGCACCACTGTAGTCGAAGTAAACAAACACGACGACACAGGCGTTTCTGCCATCTTGAGAGTGCCGCCACAACATCGCCGCACGAGTAGGTGGATCTTCCCTACTAGTACGTGCTGGGTTATTATAGCGACACACAACGAAAATTCACAGTCAAGGATAGCGCTTTTACGCGGAACGATGAACTTTCACCATGCCGTCTACAACGACGATCACAACCGACGCCATGTTCGGGGATAGAAGCCGACCCACGCGCGAACACTTCTCCTCGACCTGTGATTGGTCTGTCGTTGCGGTTGTTTCCAACACAGCGGAGGGACGCACGCACGCACGCGAACGACACGTGCATGCATCCCTCCGTCACTCATACCGCTTCTTCGAGAAACCTCCTTGCCCCGCGAGTGCCGCTCGCGGCTAGCGCCCTTATCTAGTGTCGGCGCGGTCGGCGGGCTGTTCGAGAAACCGCACTATAACCGGTATTTCCCTTCGCGCGCCTGCATTTTAAGCGGTATGTAATTACACGGAGTTCTATGGGAGGCGAGCCGGTGGTTTAAAAAAGCCGCGTTATACCCGGTCCTGCACTATAAACTCGGCACTTCACCTGTTTTTCGTGATTCAGCACATTGTTAATCATGTTGTGGACCTGCTTCTTCACTAAGCACTCATGCATTTTTGTCTGTTACAATATTAGATGAGCAGTCGAATCTCTGGCTTGAGCTCGAGCCCTTCCATACCACTCGGTGCACGCGTAGCCAAAGCCCAGCGGCAGGCAAGAAGCGCGTGGTGGAGGCGGAGCCTCTCCTGCTCTTTATTTATTTATTTTTCTAGCAACTAGTGCCCGCGGGTATGGCTGTGGGCGACGGTAATCCTCTCTTTGCATCAGACCAGTTGTTTCACCGCCGAACATGACCGAAATTGACGAATGGACGTAATCAGACACATCTGGAGTTTGTGAAAGTGTTCGCAGTTTAGGCTCGAAACCACATTGTGATTATTCAAGTGACTGAGTACCATTCTGCCATTCACTGTGTGCCTCAAGCAAGAAATTTGTATCACAAAAATAAGCGAAAACGGTATTAAACAGCAACACAATCGCATGCGTGTTGAAACAGAAACCACCCAGTTTGAAGCAGCCTCATGGCGGCGAATGCGCAAACGCCCTCTACCCGACGGTTAGCCAACCACTGAAATGAAAAGGTCTATAGGGGGTTGGATGACGCATCGAGTGCGCGAGACTGAAGTCGTTGGAAATAAGCGGCTTGTCCCAGAAGAGAGCGCTTGGCAGGCTCCGTAACCCCTCCGAGTGCTGGTTCGAAAAGTGTCGAGGGAGCTGGATTTTCACTTGTCACCTCAAGAGAGCCTGCTTGTTGAGCAGTAAGAGCGCATGCAGACCGGAGAAGTATCATGGGAAGCCATTCAGTGTAAACATTTTGAGATTCTAGTTGATCAAGTGTGCACATGTCCCAAGTTTAAATGCCTCATTCCCGGGATATAATTCAGAGCATGATTATTAAAACCCACTCTGACGCCATAATTTACGGACCAAAACCTCGACTGAATGCACTAGGAGGCCCAGCACACGCCCGACTTCCGGGACAAGCATCCAACTTCCGGTGGCTTCACTTGCACCCTGCTCGGAGAGTGGCTATGCGCCATCCAGCCCCCTATAGTAGAGATCAGTGATCTGTGTTCAAGCAATTACGGGCACTCCCTCGACCAAGGAAGCTATACTTTGTTTCGGCTTCGGTCCAGACGCAGCCGACACCAGGAGGTAATAGGACCATTCATGCGGCGTCAAAAGAGCAAGTCACTAGGCGTTTTTCTGTTTATGATTGGTTCAGCAATGATAGAACACTTACAGAAGCACGACAAACACCACGATGGTGCTCTTTTGGCGCCGTCTGATTGGTCCCGTCAGCCTGTAATGTCGGCTGCATCTGCTGTAGACGAGAAATTCTGCCAGTGCAGTACGACGGCTAGCTCAAAGTCCTTAATGTGCATCACGCAGCAGCGACACACGACCGCGCGCCGGTACGACGCTAATCCAGATGGAAATGGGCAGGGGCGGGGGATTGAGCCTCGGATCCCTGGGATCCGCAGCACGAGCTTTGGAGTTTGTACCGAGTTGAGCGAGGTGTTGGTGCTCCCCTGGATTTGCTGAAGGCAAGAAAGACATTTAGTAAAGGCACGAAAGCATAAAGAAAATACATAGTTTTGGGATGGTGACTAGTATAACCAAGGAGATATCTGCCTGGTGGCATAAGCTGAGAGGATGGTCAATATTTATTATCGTTGACATGCCGATTCGATTACGACAGGATAAGACACTCTCGGCGCACGTCGAACTGTGGGTTCAAGCCACCACCTGGATTCAGAGGCTTCCGCTTAATCTATTTTATCTCATCCACAGCACACTTGTGTTTGAGTGTAGGCCTGCGTCTCACGTCATTAAGTCAAGATTTTGCTGCGAGCCCCTTTAAAAATGATTGGAATGCCAGCGTTCGGATTTTTATGGCTTCAGGTGATGCATTAATATCATTAATATGTTCATAACCCATTCCGCATGTTCCGAAGTGTACAGTCGTTCGCATCCATTTCAACGTGGCGCTTTTTCATCGCTCAAAAGTAGGGTTCTTGTTTTCACCGCCTCAAAACATGGTGCTAAAATCGCCACAGTCTAGATGAGGACG